AGATAATTTCGAGGTGACTTAGTTCAACATAAACATCGTTAATGATCTTAGAGCAAAATTGGTAACTCTATTGTATAACATCAATAACGCCTTTATAATATAGTTACTGTTGTTTGGAGTAGATATTTACTAAATTTAGTTTAATCTAGTGCATGCCTGCAATAGTTGGTGTTTCAGTGAGAATCGAATTTGCAATACTGTCTTCCTAACTCTAACTCCTTGGTAAAGAAGTATTGCTTCTTGAAATGCAATGAGTAGAAACGCTAATCAATCATTATATACGCGCTCAAATAATAGGTAACAAATCTTTCAGCGGGAGATTAAAGTTCATCATAATGCATGATCAATAATAACTTCATATTGAAGGTTTTACTCGTGGGTACATGCTTGGAGAAACTAAAAGTTTCAGACATAGGAAATATCTGTTGGTACCAAAAACAATATGGATTATAATGATACCAATTTTGAATAAATATTTGACTAAATTGTAGAAACTTTTAATGAAAGTTGTCGCTTTTCTGTGTATAATTGCGTCAGAATAAATGGTATTTGGTTTTTAATGATCAGTTCTTCAGAATCAGAGATTTTCACCTAAAGTTTCCAAAAATTAGTTTTATCATTTATAAAATCTAATGCCTTCGATTGTCAAATTAAGCCTCAAAATATCACTCTTATGCCGAAGATGCTGGGAAACCATTGATCTATTGTACTGTTCACGTAAGTATCTGACACCCACTACTATACTATATCTTTATAGGAGTGATATCAAATAAAAAATGGAGTTTTGCTCCCATATCTTGGCTAGTCCTACTTTGCCTGTCTTCAAAAGCGTCTACACAGCCTTGTGGGTGATGAATTATTTTCCACCATACAAACCCACAAATGAAACGCTGTGAGCCTCACTATCGTAAATTGAATTTTCACGTTTTTAGAAATATTAAAATGAAAAATTTTTAGTAACACCAAAATTTAGCTTTTACTAAGCATTTAGTTTTTAAAAATCGTACGAAAATGTAAAAAATAAAGTTTAATATAATTTAAAAGTTTTACTGTTTCAAGAATAAATCAAAATAAAGTTGATATTTTTGTATTAGATTTATTGAATGGAAAATATATTCAAACCAGAATTCTAATTATCAATCACAACTAGCAAATTTTTTTACTGTATTCGATAAGGGAAAACTGTGTAAAAATTGTAAAAGATTACTGTTGTATCCTTAAAGAAGGTTACAAACAGAAAAAGATGGTACTAGAGTTAAAGGAACAGCAAATGGGCGTAGATGGAAGAAATATAGGTTTATTGTAAAAGAGAATACACTACTGAAAGATAGGGAGCCGACTAACACTTCCCTAGGCCAGACAGACAGACAGACTATGGTATGCCCTGTGCACACTACATATATCACTGATAGTCAGTTCACAATAGGTAACAGGGAGAGTGGAACATTCCATTACAACAATTACAAAAAATACTCATCAATGAAGTATGAATAATTGTTTATTTATCTAATGGACATTTCTATGCCTCTTCCCATACCTCCAATTCATCTTACAAGTTTGAAAGCATTTTGCTGTAAATTTTTTAACGCGACATTTTGTATTTCAGTCGACAGTTACTTTATTCTCTGGATATTGTTTTGGTTATAGAATGTATTACTTCTTTTTAATCCCTTAGTAACTACATATATTATAGTTACAAATTTTATAAGGATGTAATTAAGTCTTAACTGACCAACGGAATGAAATTCCAACCAAATTCCAATTTTTAAGCTAAACTTTAAACTCGTTTCCTCAAAAAAGGTAACGATTTGAAAAAAAATTATTGTGCTTATCATGTGAAACGCCATAGCACGGTCCCAAAATCAACGTGCCCTAATATAATTCGGACATATCAAATACGAAGGATTTCTTGTGTGAAGTCAAGTCACATGTTAAGTCGACTTATACAAAAGTACAAGGTATTGCTGAAAATATATCGGTCCAAAACAAAAACCAAACGAAACATCTACTTACCATTACAAGTGCTTCCTGAATATCCATCAATACATCCCAGCAAACAGTTACCTGTTATTTGATGACACTTTCCATCGCGACAGAGAGGACATTTTTTATTGCAAAATTCTCCGTAAAACCCAGAGATGCAATCTATAATAAAAAATCATAAAACTTGACGAGTTATTGTGTCAAAAATGTATTATTATTATTCATATTCAATGACTTTAGTTTCTTTTGGCAACTAGGCCATAAGTATATGGCACCCAGTGTGACTTGAACAATAGTAGCTGGTGTGATGAAAATGCTAAGTAGTTTTGCATAAGAAAGGTTCGCTGGTGCTGACAAACTGATAAGCTTTGAACTCAACACAGGTGTTAAATTCTACGAGATAATTTGCTAATACTCCATAGCAACACACCTAATTTAATTGCTGTAGACTAGTCTGGTACAGAATTACAGAAGTGAAATACTCAGTCGGAAACAAAAACCTATCTCTTCAGAGTGTAAATGATCATGGCTCTCCACATCTTCCATTTATTTACATCTGTAAAGTATAAATCGCCATGATTTCTTGAGAAAGATGGTGAAGAAGATTGAAAAGTTTCGATATTCAGAACAGGTTTTGATTTGCAAATGAAAAACGTTAAAATTTTTTTTATGCGCCGTGTCCCTTCAGGAATTGAGCGATCATGGCTCTCCACAACTTCCTGTCCTTTGTATCTCTTAGGAATGTTTGTCTTTTTGCTATCCCTTCTAATCCTTTTTTTGCAAATTAGGTAGGTTACCCGTTGTTTCTTTCTTGTCCATCTTGCCTTCAATTTGTCCTGTGAGTATCAAGTTCTCCAAACCATCTTTCCTTATTATGTGTCCTAGAAATTTCAATTGTCTTTTTTCTAATTCTAAATAGAAATGTGATTTTTCTTTCCATTTTCTCTAAAAACTTCGTCGTTACTCCCGTTCAGTCCATCCTTCTGTAGGACCACATTTCTTTTGCCACAAGTCTCATCTTCACCTGTGAGGAAATTGTCCAGCATTCACTACCTTATAGGAGGATCGATATTAGATAGCATACCTTTCTTTGTTTTCTAACGAAATATTCTTGCTTCATTCGGCTAACTTTTGAACGGCGTCTTTCTTTATACCTTATGAAGATGTATAAGCAATTACTTTCATTTTAAGGCTGTTATATTTGCTCCACCTCTAAACTAGAATAACAGACATTTATAACTTTCATAAAAATGTGGTTAAAAGTAGAGAACGAAAGGAAGAAAATAACACTTACGTTGACATTTTCTATCAAAATTAGGCGCGCAACCTTCTTTGCAAGTTCCGTCTCGATTACAGCGACGGTTTTTGCAACCATTGCACGGAATGCTGCACATTTCTCCATAAAAGCCAACATGACATTCTGCAAGTAGATGTTTCTTTTTCAGATTTTCACTTAGTCATTAAAAAAATATATTGATCATAATCAGAATGAAAGTCTAAAATAAAATGAAATTATTTGGAATGAAATGATAAAAATTAGCAGGTCTCGTACTCTCCGTTTAAGAAAGTTAAATATTAAAAGCAAATAGACAAAAATGAAAGTTTTGTAAGAAAATCAATTTCAAACCTTTAGTGTGAACTATATTTTCCCTTACATATCGAACAATAAAGATTTCTGTTTGTTGTCTTCACTTGAAACTAATGTCTTTGGGAAAGGCATGAACCCCTTTCAAATTATAAGTTAAACAACAGAGTAGATTGGAATTTTCTAGACTAGGATTGCAGTTAGACTAGGAGAACTACTCTGAATTCAAAACTGGACAGAAAGCAACAGGAAACCACTCTACTTGATTTCCCGAGAAAGATGTTTAAAAAGAAAGAAAAGTTGTGCATAACCCTAACCCACCGCTGTGCTGAAGAGATATTTTATCAGAAAGAAAAATATTGTATTCGATCGTCTTTAGAAGTCATTAAAACACTTTTTTCTTTCTCGTATACTCAGCAAGGAGTCATGAAACTTATTAGCAAAGCTTTGTAACAGAAGAAAATTTCAGGAAAGACAAGAGACTCGTGTAAATAGGAACCAGTGCTCTGGAAAAACGTTAAGTCTGTTAAGGTTTCCATATCAGTAGTCACCGTTACGCCATTTTCTTGTGCAAGCCTAAAACCTTTAGCACTCAGTTGGTTTTAGGACCAAATTAAGGTATGTTATTCTTGCAGAGATGATAAAGAAACAATGATTAAAATGCAACAGCCATTTCTGGAAACAACCGGTTGCAACATATGTTTAAGAAAGACCAAAGAATAGATCAGCTGATAATTCAAAAAGATTAATGTTACTACGGTACATGGCTATCCGCAGCTTCCATTTCTTTTTAGTATTTATGAATTGTGACTTCTTGGGAAAGATAGTGAAGAGGTTTTCTATTACCTTCTCCGCAGTTTTGAATTCAGAATGTTCTTTCTCATAAACTGGCTACAACCCCAATCTAAAGAGTAACCCGGCTAATTAACCCATAGCTTGGGGATAAATTCATTTTTTTTTTTTTTTGCAAGGGTGTTTGCGTGAAAGTGAGAAAGGTAAAACGCCTTATTAATTATCATACACAAATTTATTCGAGTAATTGTCCTCATCTTTGTTTATTAAAGTTTCATTTGTTCTGTCCTCCATCCTTTTTCTTATGTCTATCCTAACATTCTCAGAATGTTTCAAATTTTTTTCACTCAGTGGAGAAAGCCCGATTTCACAGCGCTGTCCAAGCTAAGGGATAATCTTGTCTTTGGTAAATTCATCTTTGAAATATTACTTCCGTTCATTTCACAGGATCAGAACATGTGGATTTCACTGATTGATTCAGGAACTGAACTCACAACAATCATGCAGACCCCCATACATTGAATAAAGGATTCGCTTCAATATGACTGAAACTACATAACAACCAAGATCAGGACAACAAAAGGTTTATTGAATAATTTTAATGACTGCTTAATGTTCCCAGAAAAATAGTTTGAAACTTTCTCTATCGAGATATTTTTTAGACATGATTAAAATCTGAAATGCATTTTGATTCAAAAAGACAAAACAATTTACCGTCGCATTTAAATCCGGTGAAGTTTGGCTTACATCCTTTGACGCATCGGCCAGAGGTTGAATCACATTCTTCAGAAATACATCCTCTACAGTCATTTATGCAGTCGACACCATAATATCCTGAATGACACCCTGTTCATAAAGAATTGCAGATTTTACAATCAGTTTCTACTTTTTAAATCATATTTTTTAAACATTGATATTGTTCTGATAGATGTTTCCCGAACATTTAAAAGTAAATATTATCGGTTTTGATTGAGAATTTCACCGGTACCTTATCCGGTAGTACTTGTATTATATGAAGTACTGGGATGAAATATTGTCATTACACCATGTATTATTCAAACTAATATTTTGATCTGTGATTGTTCCATCATTACGTTTCATGTATTCATTTATATTATTTAATATTTTTAGATTTTGATAATGATGATGGTGTTGTTGTTCTTGTTCTTGTTGGTGGCGGTGATGGTTGTGGTTCTGGTGGTGGTAGTTGTCTTTGTGATAGTGGTGGTGGTGGTGGACCGGAATAAGTTACCATTAAAATGTACTGCTGAAAAGGACAATTGGCCAAACAGTTCATACAACTAATGAAAATACTTCATTTCACCAATGATTGGTATTTGAAGTTCTTTCTCTCAAAGAGCACCTTTCTGTTGCTTTGAAATTAGGACAATGGACACGCATTAATGCCTACAGCAATATAACGACAGACCTGGGTAATTATTTTTACACAGCCCACACACAAATATTCATGTTTTTGTGGGGTTTTTTTACGTTGAACACTGAGTTAGATTCCATCTCTGGGATACCATTATTTAATATTACCAGTTCCTAAATGTTACATAAGCGTGAGAAAAAAAATCATGTTAAACTCTTTATAATGGCCAATTATTCTTTGATCAATAAATTACTAATTGCATCCTTGAAGTGTTTTGTAAACCGAAGATATAAACTTTTCACAATTACACATTTTATTTTTAGTCGTCAATCGTTTATTCATATTTATTTTAATGATCTATTTATTTTGGTTATTATCCATTTGGTTATATAATGTCACCATATGCGATGAGAAAGACTCTGAAAGAGCTAGGTTATCAAAGAATTGCAAGAAAGAATCCTTCGATTTCAGAGGTTAACAGGAACAGGCATATGGACTGGGCGAGAGAATTCGAGAGCAAAATTTATGAATTTTGGCAGTCTATAATTTGGTCATCTGAAAGTAAATTCTGCCAATATTCGAATTCGAGACAGATTTATGTTTGGAGAAATCAGAATGAGACTTGCAACACCGAATGTCTGCAGGCGACTGTGAAACATGGAGGGATTGCAGTAAATATGTGGGGCGCTGGCTGGTTTGGAGGGAAATCTGAGCTGATTCTTGTTGACGGGCGGTTGATTGGTCCAAAATACTGTCAAATATTAGAGAAAGGACTACTCCCACTTTTTGAAACCAATCAGATTGACAAGAATGTCTACCTTTTTCAAGATGGAACGCCATGTCATTCGAGCAAAATAGCAAGGGCCTTGAAGGAATCGCAAGGAATCAAGTCACTGCCATGGGTAACCCAAAGTCCTGACATCAGTCCAATAGAGCACGTTTGGGAGCACCTTTACCGAAAATTTCGGCAGCATAAAACCAAAATCACGTCAGTGGCAACCCTTAAAGAAACATTGCTAAAGGAGTGGCTGAATATGGATCAGACGATTGTTGATAACTTGATCAAATCCATGAAAAATCGAATTCAAGCACTGAAACTAACAAATAAAACTAAGTCCATACTAGTTCCAAATACTGTTTATTTATTTTGAATTAGAATTAGGTAATTAAATTTTGAAATTGGATTTTATTTCTCCTGATTAAAAATTTTTCTTAGGCTACTATAGTTACATGAAAGCTATATGATATCACGAAGATAAACAATAAGTTAAACCGACCTTAAGTTATTTAGTGATAATTACAACCAAAATTAAAATACATTTTCTTTTCGTTGTGGTATTGTTGAAAAAGGAACCAATGTAAATTTAAATGGCTCCGATTAATGTCCACTACTTTAAGAATAATACGCCGAATACAAGTGTCTATAACTTCGTAGAAGAAGTACTTCACATATGCAAGTGTATCTGGTCAACTGAAATCCTTCAGAGTATACATGATGTTATTAACACGTTTCGACCATTCTATTTTTAACACTCGTTAGGTATATTCCGTGAGACAAAACGGAAATCTCTTTAGGAGTACATCTAATAAGAGACGAAGAATAGACCAAAAGCATAGATGACAAAAAAAAAGGATCAATTGTCTAAACAATATTGACTGCCAATTTTAAATTTAAGATTATTGTGATCAGGGAAGCATCCTCTTGGGAGTCGGTTCCACAATGTAAATGATTCAAATTTACTGCTATAAATTCATTCCGAGATAAAAAAAAAAAAAAAAAAAACATTGTCAACTGCGTAATCTTTACGTTTTATAGAAAGAAAACATTAAAATATTGTGCATCATCAACACTGAAGTGCAAAGAAGGCAATACGATTTAGAAAAGAGAATTTTTAAATTAATGTTCATCATATACAAGACCCAAGAGCCACTCGAAGTAGAGGGTTACTGAAGGAAATTAATTGTGTGAGCGTTAAGAATAAGTCACAGTTTATGAGGACTTGTGAGAAAGATAACAGTTAACCCTAGACTTGAAGAGTTTGTATTGGTTGTAGTGGTCGAAGAAGCATCCTCTTGGGAGTCGGTTCCACAATGTAGTGGTTCGTGCACAGATGATATTCGAGTGGCATTTCCTTCTCATTAATGTAATATAGAAGGAATGAGAGTGGTTTGCTACAATGGGCGTGGTATGGTGGGTCTTATCTAGGAGGGTCAGAGTTGGTGGAAACTTTTTTATGGAAATAGCGATAAAGAGATTGCATAGTGGAAAATAATTACCGACAAGGCCGTGTAGACGCTTTTGAACTATCGAGACTGTATAGTTATGACTAGACGATTGATATTTTGTATTTGTGTGTATGTGTGTGTATGTGCGCGTGCGTGCGTGTGTGTATGTGTGTGTGTGTGTTGAAAATCAAACTCACATTCACACTTGGGCCCAGCGAAATGCTCTTTGCACCCAAGAATACAGACACCATCATGGCTACATTTCTCAGCAATACAGTTTTTGCACACATAGCTGCAGTTCTTTCCTGCATATCCAGAGACACATGCTGCAATTACAAAAGTTAACTGTTTTAAAAATATCAAATATACATTTTAAAAATAAAACCAATTTTTTTAATTTAAAATTGCAACAACAGAAAGCGGATAAAAATGAAAATTATAAAAATTTATATTCATTAACGAATTATAAACTCTTTATATAACCATAGTATATATATATATATATATATATATATATATATATATATATATATATATATATGAATAAAGTGAACATTGAAGTCAACACTCCAGAGGCGACAGGTTGTTTCATGCTGGACACAATCGCGCGATTTCGTCCAGCATAAAACAGCCTGTCGCCTCTGAGTGTTGACTTCAATGTTCACTTTTATATTTATATTTATATTTACATACGCTCTATCTCTGATATTTAGCACTTTTTCCAAAAATATAGCACACTTTAAAACAATATTTCTTCATATATATATATATATATATATAGGTAAAAATCCTTGGTATGTAATCCAAGTGAATCCTAGTAATATAAAAAATTAAAACTGATTCACAGAAAAGTGCTCAATGTATTTATTACAGAGCATATATAAATTACAGATAGAGGAAAATTACTAATGGCCATTTCGCCCTTTTTTCAACGGGCTTAACAACTGAAGGAGTTTTATCTCCTTCAGTTGATAAACCTGTTGGAAGGACGAAATGGCCATTCTTGTGGGGAGTATATATATATATATATATATATATATATATATATATATATATAAGGTATGATATATTTATGGTAAAAAAAAAGTGCTCAACATTACGTCTAAAGCGTGTTAGAAATCTTACAAGATTACGTTCAGGCATGAAACAGATTGTGGCCACACGGTGTTGACCTCAGTGTTCACTCATATATATATTTTTCGTGACCGAGCGATCAAGGTACGTCAGATCTAATGAAGGTTTCTCCTAGGAGAAGCAGGTTTGAGTCCAGGCGAAAAGCACATATCTTCCTAAGATTTTTCAAATTAGGCCGGTAGATGCAAATAATCTTTCTGCCATTTTATATTTTTTTATTTCGTGCCTAAGTGTTGTTTCTTTTTAATTTGTCGACTGCACAGCATCGTAGGGTCTGTTGGGCACCGTCTATGAGCACCATGACACAATTCACCCCACCAGAAATTTGGAAGCAGCATGCTGTACTGTTTCGCATTCGCGCCGGAAGCTCAAATATGAACATTTCAGGGTGATTAGGTGTCAATATGAGGACAGTGCAGAGGATTCAGAAAGATTTAGATGAGTCTAATGGTGATTACGAAGGTATGGCATCTCGGAAAAATCACTCTGATCATTCTGATAAGTAAACAATTCCCAGATTTGTTGGTGAGTGTCTCAGACTCAACACAAAGGCCTAAATCAAGTTCCTTGAGGAGTTAGTGCTACCCTGGGTCAAGAGGGTGACTGTTGGAAGAGTTTATCTGGGAACATGACTCTGCATTATGCCACACAAGCAAGAGAACCCAGTCATGGCTATCAGACAATTTCTGCAAACACATCACCCCTTACATCTGGCCACCTAACTCCCCAGACTGCAACCCCCCCTTGATTATTATGTGTGGGGTGCAGTTGAGCAAGAGACCAACAAAACTTCTTGTAACATCAGAGATGAACTGAAAGAAAGGATTATGGCAGCATTTGTCAACTTAAACAAGTAGACAGCCCAGAAGAAATACAGCATATTCCGAAGTCGTTTGGAGGCTGTGGTTGAATCCAATGGAGATTTTATTGAATAAATTTACTCCTTAGTATTTTAAGATATTTTTGTGCAATTTTGGTAAATATATCTGTTAAAATGAGATATCTGTGTTATTTTCATTTTGTGTCATTTAGACGACAATTTATCTATCGCACCCTGCATATTTCGTATTTTATCTTTACATTTGTTTTAACAAGTCAAAAGTCTGACATACAGAATTTATTGTTAGAAAGATTGTTAGCAATTCACAGACAATTTTAGTAACGTGAATGAATTTACTATTTTATATAAAACAACTGTAGTTAACTAATATTCCAGTTTGTGTGCAACCAGACAAAGCAGAATTGAATATGCTTTTAAAACCTAAAGGAGAAATTTCTTTAGCTATTGAAACATTTTGAACATTGGGAGTAAACAAATATTTTTTTTCTAAGAAAAGGTATTTGAGGCTTTTGAGATGGAAGAAAAATAATATTAAAATGGAGACAGAAGAAAAGAACATCTAGAAACTGATTGCTGAACTTCTAATGATGTTTACTTTCAGTGGATCGGGCCTGATTTCAGGATTCAAATAATGCACAACGCCTTACAAATATCTATGAATCCTCATGAAATATATAAATATAATTAATATAAGTAAGAAATATTGTTTCAATGTCTTGTTATTGCCTATTACTCATTCCTTAAACTGCCTTAGCAACTTTGTCCAGGTGAGTTAGCGTGCCAGGAATTTTCTCAATCTGTTCGCCTTTCATCTCATAACCAGTAACTGTAGTGTTATTTCTAAAAATATTTATTTATGAATAATTATTATTTTATTACTGGTTTATAAAGCACTGTGACTCAACGCGTTTCAGTACAGACGCAAAAGAGGCCTCGGATCACATGCGGACATGTTCGCCAACACCAGTTACATCCGGGTTTTTCCCGTTAGCAGCAGGATAGCTTGGCATGTCTAGATACGATCCTCTCTGCAACTGATCAAGATCTGGATCGTTGTAAGATGTCTCATGCCAATAAAAGTAGCAGTCGGCAAAATACGGTGTCTTGTGAAGTCTGTCCCGTGGGCTTTTTGTTCCTCAAGTTGCTGTGGTTTCCGAGGCAGTGTTACTTTTGTTACCTCCCGTCTCTTTCCTCTCTCTGTCTATTAACCCCGTAATTACTGGAAGAGGAATTGGTTAGGTGTTTCCCCCAACTTCAACACACTTTTGCCGTATATTACAACTAGGATATTATTACAGATTTTATCACAATATTCTTTCACAACTAGTGCAGTGAGTACATAAACCTGATTGTTTTGGATATTTACGATGAACGAAGAAAGAAAACAGACAATTAGATGATACTTACTGTCACATTTTTCTCCAATGAATCTTGGATTACATCCTTGTTGACAAATACCAATTGGATTACAGTCACCATCTTTACAGCCATGACACATTTTATTACAATTAACGCCATAATAATATTTTTGACAACCTGAAACAAAAATAATTATTTTTCAATTACTGAAATTCTGGGGTTTTTTTTAACTTTCCGTGCGTGTCACTGTCAACGTTTTGGTTTTAATGACATTAAAATTTAATTATTCAAAAAGTATTTCAAGCAAATACTTTTAATCGTTACATTTAGTGTTATAAAAAATGTTTCATCGATCTTACCTTAAATTATAGCGAGAGTAATTTGCAAAACAATACAATAGGGATTCACCGTCAGTTAAATACGTAACTCAAATGATAGGTAAGTCCAAGATGATTATAGGTAAGTTCAAGGATGATTATATAAACCCGAAGGAGTAAAAAAGCAATCTCCTGACCAATACTCAAGACAATATTCCGATAATCAAGATATCAAAATCAATAGAATTTACTGAATGGGATTAAAGTGTCGAAATAGAACTGCATGGGTTGAACAATGGATTTTGGGAAAATACACATTGAGTAATATTTCGAAGTATTATTTCTGAAGCTGCGAGTCGAAAAGAATATTTAATTAAAGATTTTCTAAATAAAACTCGTCCTGGGTATAACGATAAACTACATCCGGCAGCAAGGCTCCTGATTGAGAAGTTTTGAGGAGCGTGGAACCACCTCTTAATTTCTGTTATTCCCAAGTTCACCATGAGCCGGGGTGGTAGTATTTGTTAGGGTCCCAATTATGAGCAAATAGTGAACCCCTAAACTAGGATGAAAACATTATGAAAGTATAAGAATACATTTTTGTAATAAGAATACCTACAATACATTTTCATAGTAAAAAATTACCTGCAATACATTATTGTAAAAGGAAGAGAAAATTTCCAGCAATACATTTTGCAAAAGTAATTACCAAAGCTTGTAAGGAGTTGATATACAGTTAAAAATCCAAATTAAACTTAACAATCAGTTGAAACTGAGTTATAAATTTTGATTCAAAACATTTAAAGTATTTAAGGCCTACTAGGTGTATGATATTTGTGAATCCCAGGTCGCTCGATTCAGCTTTATTTGGTCAGATATTGCTCCGAACCGTTTGTAAGTTCAGCTTCGTGTAGAATTGATACAAAGAGAAAAGAACTTTAGAAATACAAAGAGGCGAATGAAAAGAGAACATTCATTTCTGTTGTCCTATTGACGCAAACAACTGAAAAATTAATAACAGAAAAAAGAACAGGAAACAAAGAATTGCAAAAGAGCCGAGAAAAACAAAACTGAATTAGAATAATTATTGAACCTACATGAGCCCCGATCACATCAGGAATGGAGATGAAGAAATCGCTTATTCAATTCTAACTTGTTTTAAGACAAGCTATCAAATTCTGCGGGAGACACTATCATTTTACAGTCATAGACACGTAGAAAAACGCTATTATAAGTACGTTTTTCTATCAACTTATACTTTAAAAACGAAATATTGTTGATACATAGAATGAAAAGGAATGTGTTTTGTTTTTTAAAAAGATTTGGTGACGATTCTATGCATTTTTTCTGGGAAGTTAATTTTATTTCCTTGTTTTTGTTGTTGATAATAAAAACAAACGATAATAAAAATGTGTGATATTTCTTCAATTATCACAATCTTCAACTTTCTACTGGATGCTGATATGGACAAGGAATTGTGTCAACATCTGAGATATGACAATAAGAAACCAAGACAACATCGCAGAAGCTTTATCCTCAAAGATGGTTTATTTATAAGATATCGTCAGGAATAAACATTAACACAAAAAAAACAACCAGCATCTTCACATGACGCAAGACCAGAAGTCAAAATGGCATCAGAAGTTAAACATGCACAGAGAAATAATACCGTAGAGAAAAGAAATATTAAAATACGGCACACAATACAATACAGTGGAACCCGGATATAAGAGAGTTGTCGGGACCGGAGAAGTCTCTTATATCCGGGTTTCTCTTATATCCGGGTTTGGTCTATTTTATATACATTAACACAGGCTCTAATTTGGGACCAGAGAAAATCTCTCTTATATCCGGGTTTCTCTTATATCCGGGTTGGTTATATCCGGGTTACACTGACACAAAATCATATTCATGTTGCCCAAATAATCAGTTGATTTGGTGGATTCTGTTTAACGGCATATCAACACCTCTATGGGTTATTTAATGATGAAGTCTAAATATTTAATACATAATTTTATGCTTTCAGATTAAAGGTGTTTTTAGATATATATTTTGCAGATCATAAAAAGTATTGTTGGTAATTTTACTATAAAAAGAGTCTTGTTGATTTTTGTTTGTTGGTTCAATATTTGCCAATAGCTGGGTCTCTAACAGGTGCAACCAACCCGGGTCAAGGTGGACCTAGGAACAACATCAATTAACGGGTAGTTCCACGCTCCTCAAAATCTCCAATCTCCCAATCAGAGGCCTTGCTGCCGGATGTAATTTATCGTCATACCCAGGACACAGTTAAACAATTATCTTCCTTACAAATAATTAAATGTAAAGTTAGAAAACTTAACGAATTCAAATGATGATAATAAGTACCCAGCGTGATAAGGAACAAATTTCCAAAAGGAAATGAAATTTCTGCACCGTTTGTACTATTTACGAACCGGTGTCAAACAGAGAACTAGTCCAAGCACTCTTGTACAAAGAAGAAATTGCGACACGTTGCCATGTCTACGTTGGAATCATAATTAGTAATGACGAAGAGGGCAACGTCAAATTACAAAATATATTCATGTGAAAAAAAATATGAAAGCGCTACGCAAAGTTTTACCTATGTTTTCTCAATGAGTCAAAGCGGAAGTGGGAAGGACATTTAGAAATCTGAATAAATAATTTCTATGTATGATTCCTAGTAAACTTACGATCACATTTGGGACCCGCAAATTGACCTTTACACCCAAGAAGGCATATTCCCTCGTGACTGCATTTCTCTGCAATACAGTTGAAGCATGCAGGGGTGCACTTATGTCCAATATATCCAGGAGCACACTCTACAATTAAAAATTGAAAATATAAAATATTAATTGATAAAAATAACTAATTTTCACTTTGCAAATTCGATTTTTTTGTTTTTTTAACTATTGAAAATGCTACTATAAAAATGGTAAATGAAATTCAAGAACAAAAAAATAAGCAGGATTCACCTCAATAGTGATTATATTTCCGTCTCAATTTCCTTTGACAAATTGATTTTCAATCTTGCGGATGCATTATAACAAAACTATTTATAGAAATTATCAAATATTTGTTTTGTATCTTCCTCTTGATTTTTATTTATTGCCATTCAACTTCGATATTTACACAAGGAGGTCACTCGCCTAAAGAATGGAAAGTTAATGATATAGAGAAACAGAAGAGATATTCTTCTATTTCTTATAAGCCTAATAAATTTATGATCTCTTTTCTATGCTTTTCTATTCAAGTTAATGACATTAGAGAATCTGAGGAAATGTTCTTCCATTTCTTGTAAACTACATAAATATATACCGTCTATTCTATACTAATTTTTATTTTTATTAAATTGTAAGTTGTGCTTCAGTCAATAGATACTTCGCCCTTCGTCATATGCGACTTACCTCTAGAAATGTTTGAACAAATGGAACATTTCCATAATATATTCATCAATATGGCTGTCTCTTCAAAAACAGCAATGATAATGTTGTTACATTTGCTACTTTCATATAATATGGTTGAATTAATATTGAACAGACAACATTGTCATTCTCCTAACATACAGTTAAAATATTCAAGTGCTACATCGATGCTGAAATTGTTTTAACTTCAGCCGTGTAATACAGAAAATGTAATCCATGCTCTTCTAAGTTAAGTAAAATATACAGCAATTATTTCAAAGTTATTGCTTCTAATATCGGCTAAGATGTTCTAATACGAGATTCCTTCTTAAGAACGTCAATTTAAAGTTATTGTTTCTCAAAGTTGCTAAGATTATTAATACGTAATTTCTTCTTAAAAACATCAATTTAAATCATATACTTACTATCACATTTGTATCCAATAAAACCTTTTTTACAGCCATATTCACAACGACCAGTGTCCCAATGACAAGCGCCTTTCAAACAGCCCCAACATGGTTCAGTACATTTTTCACCATAATATCCACTTGTACATTCTTTAATTAAAAAATACAATATCTAACATTACATTCTTCCTTTAAATATATTTACACTCTTCAAGAGAGATAATTCCGTTGTAAATACGGGATATCCTCAAAATTATAAAATCGTTTACAATCTACAATATTAAGCATTTATACTTCAGGACTCTGCTGTTTCTTTCCATGTCTGCTTCCAGTTGATTCTCGCCATACGATGTGTCTATATGTAAAGCTGAAAATGAATATTCTAAAAGTGAGGATATTTTATCAGAATAATATTTGTCGATCCATATTTAGGAAATTGTTTACGCAGAGAAAACTTTCCCAAAGACTTAAGCTAATGCAACTCGACATCACGTTATTCTTGGTCGTCATATTAAGCAAATCGATTCCAGCAGGTTGAAAACTTGAGACAATCATAATCTCACTCTCATTCATAGCACCTTATTCGATTTCCTAAGTAAATACGCCGTGAATCTGGTGTTGTAGATAGCAAATTTTCAGATTTTAAATGGACCGATATGATATGCGTTTCTTTCATTTCTCTTTTGCTTCACATTTTTTTCTCTGTGTGATATCTCTGTTTAATACTTTAGCCTTCACTCCAAACAAATATCTCAATCGCTTACACCATTAAAAACATAGGACCTACTTATTAGTCATATAACTTCTGCTTTACTATCGCAATTGTCGTATTTCAGATATAGTTTGGACGAACAAAGAATATTGAAATTATACGATACTTACTGTCACATCTGTCTCCACTAAAACTCGGTTTACAGCCTTGATTGCATATACCAAGTGGGTTACAGTCTCCATGGCTACAACCATAACAAGTCTTGTCACAATTAACTCCATAATAATACTTTTGACAATCTGAAAATAAATAATTATAATACACATTTAAACAAAAGAAATATTTATTTTTATTTGTTTCATCTGTGCGTCTGTCAACCTTTTCGATTTAAATACCAAAAAAAGTTTATTATTCAAAAATTATTTCAAATAAGTACTTTCATCTTTACTTTTATTATTACAAATATTTCACCGATCATAGATTAATATATAGAGTATCGAGTTTACTAAGAGTAGAAGTGATGCTCAGATTTGGTTAAATACATTACTCAAATGATAGGTGTAACCGGGAGAAACAAGGATGCCTATATAAACGGAAGTGAGTGAAAAAAAAAAGCGGAAGTTTGAATAAATCAAATCTCCTGACCAATTTATCGTTAATATCCCGAAAATCAAGATATCGCGATAAATAAATAGAATTTACTGAATATGTTTAAAGTCTCAAAATAAACCGACACTTGTTGAACAATGGATCTGGAAGAAATTGAGCAAATATTTCGAATTCTTATGACTGAAACTAGGATTAACAAAGAATATTGAAGTCTCTCCGAAATTAAGCTTAAAAATCACTTGGAAGCATGTACGCAAATACGTTTGTGATTTGTAAACATCTGGTTGGACAATCAGGTGTCCAGTGATTGTAGGTTTCAGGTGACTCAATTCAACTTCATTCGCTCAGATTCGCCTTGCAAACCTTTGCAGTAAGAGTGTTTTGTAGAATTATTACACAAATAGGATGCCAGCACCAGTTCAAACCTTTCCAATCTCATCTTTTCAAAATTGTCGAGGAATAGAGAAAAACACTCGCTCACTCATATTTCGTAACTATCTACCTCTCAAACTAATACAAAAACAATTTTCATAGAATGGAGAGAAAATCTGAAAAGGAGAAAATTAAAATAAGTTTCGTTCATTAAAAAGAGAATCGGAAACAGAATTAGGGAGGAAAATATTCCAAGATTCACATAGAGTAAAGCAGAAAGAATAAATTTGTCGTATCTCGCAGGTATGAAGACGGAAAAGGAAATCAGGCAGGCGGGAAAAGAAGCATATAAGAAAAGTATTATAATAAGTTGTATCTTAATTTTGCTTTCATTTAGCCTCACATTTGAGACAAGTAAAAGAGACAAAAAGAGGAATACTTAGAAATAGACACGAATGAAACAGAAAGAAGTAATCAAATATTACGGAAGAAAGACCAAGGTTTTGAGAAAGAAAACACAACAAATCATCACTACGAGAATGTACTTGACTCACAATAAAATGGGACACATATAAGGACCAAATAGTTAATTCAAGACTACATGTTTGACGATTAGTTATCAAATTCTACAACAATCGATGCCATTTTGTGTTAACCAATATATATACCAAGATCAATTGTAAGAACTTGTCTCGCTCTCTGACAATAAATGGAATGAAGATGTTTACAAATCACAAACGTATTTGCGTACATGCTTCCTCATTTCTACAGAAAACTGAAATTCATTTCCTAGTTTTATCATTTACAAGAACTGCATAAAAATCGTTTATATCAATTTATCACAAGCTTTACCATGGCAGTCGACAGTGAAAGTGACCAATAACATGTGTCAACGCCGGAGAGATTTAAGAGATCATACATCTGTAAGAAAACCCACTCCAATTTTGAAACTTGCTCATCATTAATAAGAGGACCATCCACTCACACAGAAACAAAACAGCCATTATATTCACGGTGAGTGGCAGATGAGAACAGTTCCACAAATCAAAGCTACACCGAACTCGACAATTATTATTCGGTCGACCTATCTCGGAAATTCAATCACCACAGTTCTGCGTCAAGGCCGGAAGGTCATTAGGATGGTATTCTGTATGATAATATAGCTGGTCAATGTGGGTGTTTTCTGGGTGCCCAAGCCCTCTTGCACCATAGCTAGTTGTCCAGAGCAGTATGCTTAAAAGTTCTTGTTTTACTCGCCAGCGGTGTTCTGCAAAGCGCATTTTGCCTTCGCGTAGGATTGTAGAAATATCAGGGATGGGTCCATAGGACTGTGATTTACTTGGATGTTGTCTCCAAGACATGTTATGCATAGCTCTCAATATCTTAGTGTATGTTCCAGCAAACTTTGATTCTAGGGTTTTAGTCAGTGTCCAAGCAGTGGCATCACACATTAACACAGCCTCTACAATGGCTCGAAGAAATCTCCGCTTGATGTTGTCTGGTAGATCAAATTTCCAGATTGCATTCATTTTATTCAAGGTGTCAGTTGAGACAGTTTTCTATTGAGCCTTGATAGTTGAAGTCTATGAATCCAGTTTTTAGATGCATTTACATACAGTCCAGCGTCATTGGAAGAATTTTCTAGATGGTGTAGGAGAATAGTAGTATTAGTGTCTGCACTGATAGCTAGGTCATGTACACAGACAATAGCTGACAACATTTTTGCAGGATATCGACTCAAGTGTCTTGATGAAAAAGTAAAACCTAGATAATAAACACGTGTCAAAACACGGTGAAGAAATAATGCCATACTGGACAGAAATATTAAAACACGACACAGAATAAAATAATATACAGAATCATATCTATATCCTTGTGCAAATTAATTGAAACAACCGCTTTTAGACCCACTGGAGTGGTAGGGTGTAATCTTTCTCTATTTTTTCCTCAGATTATGTCATTTGCTGTGGTGTGCAGTAATATGAATCTATTTTCGGGGTGAATATTGTTTCATCCGTGATTTCATCAGATTTTCACCACGCCCACACACTATTGTCTCGACTGTCGATTAGTTATTCTACGGCCATTGTCTGTGATGGACATTACTCCAAGGAATTGTACACAAATTTTAACGCTGCACGAACACAATGACAAGCCTTATCAATGAGCAAATCAAAGTTCAATCAACTAGCACGAAAACTCTCCTGATTTAAATCCAACCGCGAATCTGTGGTCACTCTGCAAGGAATGACTTCGTGGAATGGACATACAAAATACTAACATGTGCATTGAGTCACGACGCATTGGAAAAATATGAAAAAATGTAAATAATAACGGAATGATTCGTTTTCTTTCAATTAATTTGCACAAGGGTGTATATCAAATTGATTAAGAAATAATTAGCAATGCAGTTAGAAAAGTTGAATGAATCCAAGAGATGCTGATGGATTCCAGCCAAATAAAGAACACATTCCAAAGACTTTTGGGAATTTCTGTTCTTTTCGTCTTATTTTCGACGAACAGATAATTAATCAGAAGGCTCGTGGGCAAATATTCCGACACATTACCATGTCTATATTGTGATGTAATGTTCATTTCGGAGAAGACACTGACTAGTTACAAATGTTATGCATAAAGCAAATAGGTAAATGTTACACATGGGCTTCTGCCTGTTTTTTTTTTGTTTTTTTTTTCAATTATCCATGCAGAAATGGGTAATGACATATAGAAATCAGAATAAATAATTTCCTTGATGAATATTATCAAACTTACACTGGCATTTGGGACCGATAAATTTACTTTTGCAGCCGATAAGGCATATACCATCTTGATCGCATTTCTCTTGAACACAATTTTTGCAGAGATAGTGACAATTCTTGCCAGCATATCCAGGAGCACATTCTGCAAATTAAAAGAAAAATTGGTAAAAGAAAACATCAAATATTAATTTCATTTTGAAAGTTTGTCTTTTATGAAGGTTCTTATATCAAAAGTGTAAATCCCTGGGAGATTTCAAATATTCAAATCATCAAAAGTACATTTGTACTTTGAATTTTCTTCTTGTCTTTTATTTATTGCCATTCAACTTCGATATTTACACAAGGAGATCACTTGCCTAAAGAATGGAAAGTTAATAATTTAGAGAAACAGAAAAGATATTCTTCTATTTCTTATAAGCCAAATAAATTTATGATCTCTTTTCTATACTTTTCTATTCAAATTAATAACAGAGAATCTGAGGAAATCTTCTTCCATTTCTTGTAAACTGCATAAATATATACCGTCTATTCTATACATTTTATATTCTTATTAAATTGTAAGTTGTGCTTCAGTCAATAGATACTTCGCCCTTGGCCATATGCGATTTACCTCTAGAAATGTTTGAACAAAAGGAACATTTCCATAATATATTCATCAATATGGCTGTCACTTCAAAAACAACGCTTTTAATGTTATTACATTTGCTACTTTCATATAAAATGGTTGAATTAATATTTAACAAACACCATTGTCCTTCTCCTAATATACAGTTAAAATGTTCAAGTGCTACATCGATGCTGAAATTGTTTTAACTTCAGTCGTGTAATATAGAAAATGTAATCAATGCTCTTCTAAGTTAAGTAAAATATACAGCAATTATTTCAAAGTTATTGCTTCTAATATCGGCTAAGATGTTCTAATACGAGATTCCTTCTTAAGAACGCCAATTTAAATCATATACTTACTATCACATTTGTATCCAATAAAACCTTTTCTGCAACCATATTCACAACGACCAGTGTCCCGATGACAAGCCCCTTTCAAACAGCCCCAACATGGTTCAGTACATTTTTCGCCATAATATCCACTTGCACAGCCTATAATTAAAAAAATACAATAGTAAACATTCCTTTTTTCCTTTAAATATATTTACACATTTCGAGAGAGATAATTGCGTTATAAATTTTTAAATGGCTGACAATCTACAATACAAAGTGTTTATGTTCCAAAACTAAGTTGAATTTGATGCTTATATATATATAAAGTGAGAGAGAGATTGTTTTAGAAGTAAACTTGCTGGTTTTCCAGTGCTTTGCTGATAAGAAAGCAATTAAGGCAAGCAGGCTATGTGGTAAAGTGTTCTATATCGAAGGCAGGGGTAGAGCGTTAATAGACTTGATGTGGAAAATTTATTGTTTGTTTTTTTTAAATTAACTCATGTTTACTTCGGGTTTTTTTGGATGTATGGGTCTAGCCACTCCGACGAGTAGCTAGACACATACAATAAGAAACTCCTGAAGAAAACATGAACATGAATTAAGGGAAAAAAACTTTTCCATATTAATTCTATATATATATATATATATATATATATATATATATATATATATTATAACATAAATAATGCGTTATAAAATCACTACAAAAATAGCCATTTCGTAGTGATTTTATAACATGTTTATGTTATAATTTTCGAATAAATTATATTTGTTCTACTCTGTATTGAGCTCTCTTTTTAAGAATAGCATTTTGGTTATTGGAATTTATTCCGTATACACCAATCTTATACTTGGGTATATATATATATATATATATATATATATATATATATATATATATATATATATATATAAGGGCGAGAAGCTACTAGGACGCAAGGGGTTACAGAAGATCAGATAGGGAGTGATAGAAGAAAGGATGAGGAGAAGGATAGTGGATGGATCAAGGCAACTGAAGATGTCGATTGACATTATATTTGAATAGCTGGAGATTATAGCTCTCAGAGAAACTGGAATAGGGAAAGGAGTTCCACAGGTGAGAGGTGCGAGACATGAAGCTATTGGAGTAGAAGAGACGGCTACATTTAGGAATTTCGACAGTGAAATGGTGAGAACGGGATACCAGCCTCGTAGGTCGCTTGAACTCATGAAGTCTGGGAACCAGCGAATGCAGCTCCTCGGAGCAATTGCCATGAAAGTATTTGTAAAACAGACAGAGAGAGGCGACGGCACGTCTGTGAGAAAGTGATTGTAGACGAGATGCCAGAGCAGGGCCAATTATATTGCATATCCGCCTCTGGAGCCTATCAAGAACCCTGAGGCAAACAGAAGGGGCTCTAGACCATATATGGCAGCAATACTCCATGCAAGGGCGAATTGTTGATTTGTAGATCTGGAGGATCGATTCCGGGGAGAAAATGAATGAATAAAGACAAAAGGAAAACTCATCTTAGCGACGCGTTTGCTCCTCAGAGAGACTTTATCAAGCCAAATGTAAGGATTGTGACAAGTATTTATATACAAGAGCAAAAAGGTTTTCCAAATATTTAGGTACAGGAGTACTCATAATTATCACCTCGTGTCGCTCATAAACTTTTCTGTTTGTATTCATGTTCATGAGCACTACTATAACTAAAAACTTTGAAAATCTAATAACATTTTTGCTCTTGTATATAAATACTTTTCACAAAATAAAATCTTCACATTTTCCTTGATAAAGTCTCTCAATGTCCGAAACGCGTCGGCTAAGACAAGTTTTCCTTTTTCCTTTATTCATATTTTTTCTTTTACAGATATACTCTATTCAAAATTTTTACACACACATTATATATATATGTTTGTGTGTGTGTGTTTGTCAATAGTAAATCCGGCAGAGCTAACAATGTTAAGCTGGCCGTTACTCTCGAAAAGGACCTCCAATCAGTGGTTAACTGGGTCAACAAATGACTTGTAAATTTTAATGCCTCTAAAATTAAACTGCTCTCATTTAACCACCAGAGAGAAACTTCTCTGCGAAACCCCGCCTCCACCCATCATCATGACTGATATTGGTCTCCAGGAAAGCATCTTACTGCGCCTTTTTAGCTTCACGTTTGCAACTGATTTGAAGTGAAACAACTTCATTGAATCAATAGCTGCATCTAATGTGAGGAAAGTTGGGTAACTATGCCGTGCCAGAAGGCTCTTCTCGTCAGAGTCCATCCTACATATCTACAAATCTACCATTCGTCCGTGCATTGAATACTATTGTCATATCTGGTCTGATGCCCCTGCTGTTCATCCTGAAGTTCTTGACAAAATCCAAAGAATGATCTACAATGTAATTGATCCTAACTTGGCAACTCGGCTTGAGGCACTTTCTCACAGACCTGATGTAGCTCCCCTCTGTCTTTTCTACAAATATTTTTATGACAACTGCTCTGACGAGCTTTTTTTTTTCTCTGACTACATGAATTTAAGCGTGCTACTAGATTGGCATCTAGGTCCCACTCTTTTACTGCTGAAATAGTTAACTATAACCGCCACTTCTACTCCAACAATTTCTTTCCTCACACTTCCCAACTATTGAACTCCTTTCCTCTTACTTTCTTCCCTGATAACTACAATTTCAAAAAATGTAAATGCAACGTCAATCGCCATCTTCTGCTGACTTGCACCCTGTTTATCTTTTATCCTTTCTCAATCCCCCCTATACACAGTCTTTTCTCTCACTTTCACTGTCTGTAACCCCCCTGCGTGATAGTGGCACTCCTGCCTTCCTTGGGGCGAAATGCTCAAATATATATATATATATATATATATATATATATATATATATATATAGGTTGAACGAACAATGAATTAGATGAAACTTACTGTCACATCTCTCTCCACTAAATCTCGGATTACATCCTTGATTGCATATACCAAGTGGGTTACAGTCTCCATGGTTACAGCCATCACAAGTCTTGTCACATTTAACGCCGTAATAATATTTTTCGCAATCTGAAATATAATAATATTCATTTAAACAAAAGCAATGTGTTTTGTTTTTAAGGGGGGGTGGTCATTTCTGAGTCTGTTAATATTTTCGATTCAAATGCGACAGAATTCATTCAAATACTTTCATGTTTATTATCACAAATATTTCCCCGACCTCTTTTCTCTTTTTCATTAATTCATAAGATGGCGGAGTTTAAGAAGACCATTGTTATCGAGAATTCCAGTGGCGGTTGTTTTGATGGCAATGGTGAAATTAGTTTTGAAAATAATGGGATACCTTCTCTTTTAATAATAATAATAATAATAATAATAATAATAATAATAATAATAATCATCTCGTGGCAGAACCGAAAGATCGGTCCAGTCTATATTAATAAAAATAACAACAAGAAGGAAATTAACTTTGAAAGTTTCCCAAAAATGACAACTCGGCAGAAACAGCGTCTCACTGTGAGATGTTTAAGCAATTTTAATTTGTCCACACAAACAAATGTTATCAACGAAAGTCGTGACTGTCATGAAGAATAGAAAATGTAAAATTCTTTAGAATTTTGAAATGAATCGCCGTCAAACACTTTGAGTAAATGTAGACATTGGAAGCCAGAAAATCTGCCAGATAAGTGAAGTCATCATTCATTCAGCGTTGGTTAAATACTTAATTCAAACGATAATTTTGCACCAGAGAAACAAACAAAGACTATATTAACTTACGTAAGTAACAAAAAGCGAGAGTTCGAATAAACGAAATCTGCTGAGCAATAGTCTCGACAAGAAATTTGGTTTATCCCCAGAATCAAGACGTTAAGATCAATAAAATTTACTGAATATGAATAAAAGTCTCGAAATATACCGACACTTATCGAACAATGGAGCTGAGGGGGGGGGGGGAATTGAGTAATATTTCGTATTATGATTACTTAAAATGGCAGAGAGCAAATATCGAAGTAATGATTTTCCACTGAAACTAAAATATCATCTGAAATTGAGCTATAAACTTTAATTCAAAACATTTACAGTATTTAAGGCATATTAAACTTGTGATGCTTGAGGGTGACACATTGCTCAATTTATTTTCATTTGATCAGAGTTTGCCTTCCAAATATTTACGGCTAGAGCGCCGTGTATAATTAATACAAGATTAGGATGCAAGCACGAGTTCAAGCCTTTCGATTCTCATCTCTTTAGAATTGTAGAATAATGTAGAATAAATTCGATCACACAAATTATACAAAAAAGTTTCACATTAACCTATCTTCCTCTCAAATGAACACAGAAGAAAATGTCATAGGATGGAGGGAAAATATGTAAAAAGTAGAATGGAAAATAGACTTAGTTTAAGGAAACATTGCAAGATTAACAAAGAAAGCGAAGGGGAAATAAATTTTTCGTATCCCGCAAATGTGAAGACGGAAACAGAATAATATCGGTCATCCAATATGGAAGTGAATGCTGGATAATATCCTCACAAAGAATAAACTTGAGGCAACACATATGCGTTGTTGATTTTTTATAACCATTTCACCCAAGCAAGGCGACAATGCCACTAGGATGAAGAGGGTTACAGGAAATGACAGTAGAAAAAAAACGCTACATTTCAGAAACTTCCTCACTATTTTGAGTTATTAAGATGATGACCAACATTCACGCAAAAAAAAAAAACACTTTTATTCCCGGAAAGTGAGATATGGAGTCAGTTCTATGAATCATATCGACGCCAAACTCTATACATACATCAAAACACCGTATTGAACAGAAATATTAAAACTGCACAGAATAAAATAATATGCAGAAACATATCTATGATATAAAGTTAATCAGTCATATTCATTATAAATAATTAAATGGACAATTAGTAAAGTTTTAAATTAAAGAATTCGAGAGATGGTGATCGGCCTTCAGCCGGATAAGGAACAGATTTCAAAAAGAGTTTCGATTTTCTGTTCCGTTCGTCCTATTTTCAGACATGTTTCGAAGAAATCAGAAAACTTGTGTAAAAATGAAATTCAAACACCTTGTCATGTCTACACTATGATCTTAACTATTAATCGAAGAGAGTAAATGTCAAATTACAAACTATAAGTCATGTGGAAAACAAGTATGAAAATGAGACTCATAATTTTGCCAATCATTCATGACGGACTTGGGTTTTGATTGACTAAACTTTACAGTTTATCAACCTTTTGTAGATGATTGAAATCCAGAAAATATTTTTAGGTTGTGAGATTCTTTTTAGCTAATAATGATTTACTAATACAAACCCATAGCCTCGGATGGAAGGGAATTATTTGTGCATAAGTGAATATAACGAAACGGATGTCTAATTCCGAGTCATTTTCCATTACACCACCCGCACATCCAAGCTTATACTCCCAAGCGATTACTCATCTAGATACTGGCCAGTCTCGATGTTGCTTAACTTCAGTGATCGTACGAGAACCAGTGTTTCAGCGGAATTGAAAATGAAACTTAGAAATCCGAATAAATAATTTCTATGATTAATATTAAACTTACGATCGCATTTAGGACCAGCAAAATGATTTTTGCACCCGAGAAGGCATACACCATACTGATCGCATTTATCGGCAATGCAGTTATAGCAGACAGTAGTGCAGTTCTTTCCGGCATATCCAGGAGCACATTCTACAATTAAAAACGAAAATTGATAGAAAATATAAGAAAAATTACTTTGTAAAAATAAATGTAATTTTCACTTTGCAAGTTCGTCTTTTATAAAGATTGGACATTCTTAGATCAAAAGTGTAAATCCCTTAGAAAGATTCAAATATTCAAAAATGACAAAGATCCAGTGTTCACAACCAATATCGATTAAATTTCTGTCTCAATTTCATTTGACAAATTTCATTTCAATCTTACGGATGAATTATGAGAAAAATAGTAAAAGAAATCATCAACTATTTATTGCTTTATCTGTTTATATTTACGAGATGGGGCATTGTAACTATTTACATTATTTCACGTTGTTCGGACTGTTGTCCTCATCGTTATTGTCATATTCACGACGTTTCGGCCGTTGTACGCTCTGTCCATCTTCAGGTGATATACTTTGGAATTTCGAACCGAATTCTTTATTTCGTCTACCGGGATAGATTGCTCTAGTTCCCCGTGCCATGCCTTTTTCTGAATATCTCAGTTTCTGTTATTTCCCTTTCGTAACTCAACACTTCAAGCTTTTTTGTTCAACTCTGCTGTGGCCAGATATTGAACTCGCAACTCTTTTCGTCATGTCACTTGATTACTTCAACCAACGCTTTTATCTAGTGGGCCAAATAAAGGGTTCGCTTCAAAATTCCAATGTATATCATATGAAGAAGGTCGCAGCGTACAACGGCCGAAATGCCATGAATATGACAATAAAGATATGGACAATCGTCCGATTAATGTGAATGGTGTCAATATTTATTGCTTTGTATTTTCCTTCTGTCTTTTATTTATTGCCATTCAACTTCGATATTTACACAACAAGGAGATCAGTCGACTAAAGAATGGAAAGTTAATGATATAGAGAAACAGAAGAGATATTCTTCTATTTCTTATAAGCCTAATAAATTGTTCAGAAATTGATATGGCAGCTCAATTATAAAATGAAATAAAAAAGTCCAAAGTCGAATATCCAGGGGCAGAAAGAAATGTCAAAATCAGGAATCACAATTCTAGTGTCACAAATCCCAACACACGTAAACTGTCAGAAAAACCAACGCACACGCAAGCCGACGAGACAATTTTTTTCATTGGTCGACGGTTGGAGAGGAAAAACAATATTAGCATATACGAGATGAATTTATGGCAACAGCTGCCACAGACCTGTTTCTATTTTGTTTATCTTCAGGATATCGTACAGAACACACGTCCCCTTTTTCTCGGTAAGTGACTTTCTCTTTCGCCACATAAGTGTAGGCTCTCTATTCTGTACTTTTCTATTCATGTAAATTACATTAGAGAAAGTGAGAATAGCTTTTTTCTATTTCTTGTAAGCTACATAAATATATGCTTTTTTCATTCTATACATTTTCATACTTATTTACATTATTTAAACGCAGATTATTATTCTCCTCGTTTCTGTTGTGTTCTCCCTATTGATCCATGTAAACTTCGAACTGAATTTTATCTACGGCAGTAGATTGTAAATCTTTCTGATGTTCATGTCTAGAGATTACCGCATATAGTTCTTATTTAGTAGTGCACAGTTATTGGTCGATCCGTTTCTAAGTGCATGGAGCCCAGCCCAGGAATTGAACTCACATTAAATATATCACGAAATGCATGATTCAATGATTTATTCCATAATTCTGAGTTGAAAACATGGAGCGTTAAACCTAACCTACTGCTGACAATTGCTGCTGCTGCTGCTGCTGCTGCTACTCGTCAGGCTTGTGTGCACTCACTTCAACTACGGTTACTGTTACTGTTCAAGCAGGGTTTGTTGTTTCTCTTTCTCTATTTACGACTCCCATATCGTATTTCTTTCTACGCTAGGCCTACAGAATTTTTTCGTCCTCCCCCACTATACCCTTCTGTTTCTGCCTGTAAAATCGCAAATGGTGATCCAGACATATACCAAGAGAAAATGAGCAACATTAAACGTACGGTTCTAAATAACAACTTCTCAGCAAACACGGCATCAGCTTCTGTTGGCACGGAAGATTAACCTAGTCGTTAAAAGCCTGGTTCGTGAATTTGGTAACACGTAATTGATATAGTGTGAGTTTAATCCCTGGGTAAAGTATCGTATATTTCGACTCAAGGGAATAAGTGAACAGTGCTCAAGAAATAGATGAAATATCCCTAGACATGACAGCAGAACGAAAACAATCTATAACCGTAGATTGTATAAAGGGTTCAGTTCGAACTTTCATTACGGTTAGCATGGTCGACAAACAGTTGAAGAAGGTCGGAGAGCACAACGGTTGAAACGTTGTGATAATAAGAGCAAAGATGAGGACAATAGTCCACATGTCAGTAATTTAAGTAATGATAACTTCTCCTCCCCCCAGAAATTCAGAAAGAAATAATTCATATTTATTACATTGAAAATTGTGTTTCAGTCAGTTAAGAGATTCTTCAACCTTCATCATATGCGTCATACAGCTAATCTGTTGTTTCAACAAATATAACATTTGCATAATATATTCCTCGATATTTTTATCATTTCATAGACAATGTTATTAAATTTCCTATTTTCATATAAAACGATTGAATCGGCACTGAACCACCAATTAGTTCATTCCCTATCATCCAATTAAAATGTGCGAGTCTTTCACTCATCATGAAACTTTTTTTAAATTCAGCTTCGTAATACAAACATATAATCCATTAAAATAGCATAAAAACTTATCCGTACTTATTTCAAACTTATCGTTTATCACATTTTCCAATCTGCTGCTTCAGAAAGTAAATTTAAACATATACTTACTATCACATTTGTATCCAATAAAACCTTTCTTACAGCCATATTCACAACGACCGGTGTCCCGATGACAAGCGCCTTTCAAACAGCCCCAACATGGTTCAGTACATCTTCCTCCATAATATCCACTTATACATTCTTTAATTAAAAAAATACAATAGGAACAATTACTTTCTTCCTTTAAATATATTTACACATTTCGAGAGAGATAATTCCTTTGTAAATACGGGATATCCTCAAAGTTATAAAATCGCTTACAATCTACAATATTAAAAGTTTATTCTTCATGATTTTGATGCTTCTTTTCATGTTGATTCTCGCCATACGTTGTGTCTTTATGTAAAGATGAAAATGAATATTCTAAAAAGTGAGGATATTTTATCAGAACAATATTTGTCGATCCATATTTTCAAAACTACATCAAACGTTAGGAAATTGTTTACGCAGAGAAAACCTTCCCAAAGACTTACGCTAATGCAACTCGGCATCACGTTATTCTTGGTCGTCATATTAAGCAAATCGATTCCAGAAGATTGAAGACGTGAGACAATCATAATCTCACTCACATTCTCAACACTCTATACGATTTTCTAAGTAGTTAATGTAAATCTTTATGGCATGAATCTTGTGTCTGTAGATAGCAAAGTTTCAGATTTTAAATTTACTGATGTGACATACCCCCCTCATTTTTTTCTCAATTTTCAATATCTTTATTTAACATTTTAGTGTTCCTTCCAAACAAATATCTCAATCACTGGAACAAAACAGTTTCACAATTAAAACTATAGTACCTCTTTATCATTTATTTTCGTTCCAGAGATTACTGGCGGTTGTGCATGAGTGCGTTGAACAATAGCAAATCCGCAGCCCCCCTTTGAAGTACTGACATCTACTGCAGAGAAAGCAGAGTATTTTGCTGGGGATTTCTCCTCCAACTCCTCTCGATTCAACTGGAGTGCCTCTGCCAGATTTTCCCCCTATGATGGAGGCTCTACTGAGTGAAATGCGCATAATTCATTGTTTCTGCTATCATTTCTAAATTATATCCCCACAAGACATACGGAGTTGACGGGCATCCCTGAAGCCATCCTAACAAAATGTTCTCCTGAGCTGGGTCTTGTCTTCTCCGAACTTTACAACAAATGCCTCGCTACTTCTTGCTTTCTAGCTTGCTGGAAGTCCTCTATAGTTCTTGTTTTTTCTTTAGTTTCTTACTTCTTTTTGGCAAAGTATTTGAGTCTCTAATCAACGTCGAATTGCTTTAAACAACAGTCTACTTTTAGACGAACAATATACCTTCGGCTTCGCCAGGCCTACCGCCGACATGTTATCTGAATCACTGAATTTGTCTATCAAACTTTAAAAAATGTCGTGAAATAAGAATGATGAAGATCGAACAGTGGCTCTATCTCTAAGGGGTTCGACAGGGTTTGGCATGTTGGTTTTCTCAGCAAGCTCAAGAGCTACGGTGTCATGAGACCAATATTTGACGTAATCCAATAGTTCCTAACAAATCGTATAATGAACACCGTGTTGAAGGGGAATGATCTCAGATTATTTCATGCTAATATGAGGGTTCCTCAGAGTTCTATCCTTGAGTCTTTTACTGTCTCTGGTCTTCATCGATGACTTCCTCTATATAATCAGTTTCCAACTAGGTATTTATGCAGATGACATAACTATTTATCAGTGTCCGATAATAATCATTTTATTCAAGTCAGACAGACCCGACAAAATAAACCTGGCCAGTGCTTACAAAAAGGACCTCAGATCAGGGGTTAGCTGAGACAAGAAATGGCTTGTAAATTTTAACGCCTCCAAAATTGGTTTCATTTAATCACAACAAAGACCCGTTTCTGTCTGTCATCATCTTTGCTTTCGATAAGAACAGATCTGCTACAGTTCAAGATAATATCAAGCTCCTCGTTGGAAAGATCATAGTATTCCCTGGCAAATTCCAAAGCCAATGTAAAAAGATCCCCGGAAATAGATGGGTAATAATCCACAATATCAAAATAGATTAATGAACAATTCTTTTTATCGTTTGCACCCATTAAACCAATTTATGCCATCTGTGGTATTAATCCATTGTAAAATTTTAAGACGCAATTGATTAATACCACAGATGTCATAAATTATATCGGGAGTACCAAGAATTCCTTTAAAACTAGGTGGTGCCAAAATATATTATCTTTCACCAATAACGCGTCCCTTTCTAAATATTTTTGGAACTTAAAAGAAGTTAATAAAACACTTACGGTAAAATGGAAAATACTAAAAAAAGCTAGAACTTGTAAATCTTTAAATGAATCTTGCTTCTTATGTTTACATGAAAAACTTGAAATTATCAAATTTGCTGACAAATATCCTTATCTAACTAAAGAAATGAATTAATTGTAAATTGCCGTCAAAGTCTATCTTTTCCTTTAAAATATAGTTAAATTTTTAAAATTTTTTATTACCATTTCTTATAGCCACAATTTATTAGTAAATAATGGCCCGCCCTCTACGGGCAATTCATTTTTTTTTTTTTTTGTTTGTTTATTCAGCTTTAATATTGCTATGTATGGCAGTCCAGTTAGTATTATTAATATTTTATATAGATGTTCCACATTTTTAATTTATCTACGGACCTCTTTAAAAAGGTTCCTTTTTAAAAAAAAAATTTCTGTTGAAATTAACTTTATGTCTGATTATCCTCCTACCGCTTCCTTCAACGTCCTTTCAAAAACTGAAGATGTCACATTTGTCTTCAATCACGATACATTCGTCGCTTACATTTTTTCCCTAATTGTTAATGATGGCCTGTCTATGTTCCGGTTTATCATGGTATTAAAAAATAACTCAGCCACCTCTACCTTCTGAGATTATTTCTGTATTTAGCACATTTCTAGTTTATAATGGGTTAATCAAGACGTACCACAAGTCTATTTTTAATTCTGACCTTAGTGTTCCCCTTCTTTAACTTTCGGGAAAGACGTAACACTTTGTTTTTAAATTTTCCTAGAAATTATTTAATCACCAGTTACTTAGCATCGCCTGAAGAAGTACAATCCAATTATTGAAAACACACACACACACACACATATATATATATATATATATATATATATATATATATATATATATAATTTAAATTAGATGAAACTTACTGTCACATTTTTCTCCAGTCAATCTTGGATAACATCCCTGTTCACAAATACCATGTGGGTTACAGTCTCCAAAGTTACAGCCATAACAAGTCTTGCCACAATCAACGCCATAATAGAATTTTTGACAATCTGAAAAGAAAAAATTATAATACACACTTAAACCAACGCCATGTTTATTTTTGCATCATCGGTGTATCTGTCAACTTTTCTGATTTTAAGGTACAAATAATATTCATTATTCAAAAATTATTTTAAGTAAATAATTTCATTTTTCCTTTTATTATTACGAATATTTCCATAATCTTTTTCCTATCTTCATTAGGAGTGAAATTTTAAAATCAAAAGTATGATAGAGGTTTTGCGCTGGTTAAATATGTAACTCAAATGATAGGTGTTTTCCTAGAAAAGCAAGGATGTCTATATAAACCCAAGTGAGAAAAAAAGAAAGGGTTTCAGTTGAACCAAATATCCTGATCAATATATGACTTGGTGATATAAGCAAAGACTAGGTGTGTCAAAAGTGGGCGGGATGTTACATGTGATAAATAAGATAACAGCAGAAAAAAAACTCCATTTCGGAAATGTTATCAAGACGTTAATTGATTAATACAGTGAACACCACTTTTGTGGCCTGGTATTGAACTCAAATTTTTTTACGTCTAGTCACCAGATCTAACCAACGTTTTTATCCACTGAGTCATGAGTTCTTGAGAACAGCAGTGGTGAACCAAAACTTGAATAATTGAGCTAAAGGGAAATAACTGAGACATCCGGAAGAGGCATGAACAGTCTACCCCGGTGGACAGAATAAAGGGTACGGTTCGAAATTCAGAAACCAGAAGAAGGCCGGAACATACAACGGCCGAAACATTGTGAATGTGGCAATGAAGATGAGGATAACAGGCCGAGTAATGTAAATAATGCAAATAATCATAATACCTCATCTCAGAGATATAGACAGATAGAATCATGATATGAAGTTAATCAGTTATATTCCTTACAAATAAAAGTGCAATTAGAAAGGATTTTTTTAATCAGTATCACACTATGCAAGGCAGTAATGCTACTAAGAAACAAAGGGTTACAATTGGGTGTAGAAAATTTAGGAACAGAAACACTAATGGTGAGAGGAAAGAGTAAGTAGGAGTAAAGCAGATAGCGATTGACATTGGATTTAATTTTTTACAGACTAAAGTTGGCTGGAAAGCATGGATCCGGAAGGGAGTTTCACAAGTGAGAAGAGCGAGAAAATAAACTGTTCGCATAGAATTTACGTTTACATTCAGCCAACTCAACTGCAAATTGATGAGTTCTCGATGCCAGTCTAGTACTACGCTTAAATTCATAAAGTCTAGGTACCATAGCGAAGAGTTAACCCGAACAATTACCATGAAAGTATTTATAGAAAAAGAACAGGAAGGCAACCTTATGGAAGATAAGGCAGATAAGGACCGATAATATTGCTGATTTTCTTTGGATTTTATCAAGTATATCACGGTCAATAGCAGGGGCACCGGGTCATATGTGGGAGTAATATTCTAAGCATGGACGAATGCTAGACTTATAGATATATAAAATAGATTATGGGGAGAAAAATTGTCTCTCACGACACAGTGAACCAATTTTCTTAGCATCTAACATAGCAATGGATTCAATATAGTCTTTGCGCTTCATGTGTGTTGAGAACGTTACATCGAGAAGGCGTAAGGAGGTTAACATCAGTCATGCTGATGGAAAGCAGAAAGGGGTCTCTCAGATAATTAAACGAGGGTAATTTTAATAAATAGCAGGGGCACTGGACCATATATGTCAGTAATATTCTAAGCGTGGACGAATGGTTGATTTCTAGATATATAAAATAGATTATGGGAACCAATTTTCTTAGCATCTAACATAGCAATGGATTCAATATAGTCTTTCCGCTTCATGTCTGCTGAAAACGTTACATCGAGAAGGCGTAACGAGTCATATTTCTGGAGGTTAGCATCAGCCATGCTGATGAAAAGGGGAAAGGGATCTCTCAGATGATTAAAAGAGAGTAATTTTCTTTTGGAGACGTTAAAATTTACAAGCCATTTTAAAACTACCCTTTAACGACAGACTTGACTTAAATAATTTGTATGATGGCTAAAGCTTCTTAGTCATATGAGGAACACATTCCAAAAAGAGTTTGGAATTTATAATATATTTATCTTATTTTGGGGCGATGATAAGATGAAATTCCAACACATTTCCGTGTCTACATCTGAGCTTCATCAGTAATATGAATTTCTAAGAGAAAGATGTCAAATCAGAAAAATAGATCGTGTGTAAAACAAACATAAAAGTGCTAACATGTTTTTTTTTCTGATTTGTCTGCTATCCATAGAGGAATGGTAATGGCACCTATAAATACGAATAAATTATTTCTATATATAAGTAATATTGGACTTACGATCACATTTGATACCGACAAAATGACCCTTGCACCCGATAAGGCATATACCATCTTGATCGCATTTCTCTTGAACACAATTATTGCAGACATAATGACAGTCATTGCCAGCATATCCAGGGAGACATTCTACAATTAAAAACGAATATTGGTAGAAAGCATATCAAATATTAATTTTACTTTGCAAGTTTGTCTTTTATAAAGGTGAAACCTTCTTATATAAAAAGTATAAATCCCTTAACGACTTTCAAATATTCAAGAAATCATCAAAAACTATCTATATAGATGTAGAGAATATATATATATATATATATATATATATGTATATATATATATATATATATATACATACATATATATATACATACATATATATATATACATACATATATATATACATATATATATATATACATATATATATATATATATATATATATATATATATATATATATGTGTGTGTGTGTGTGTGTGTGTGTAGAGAGAGAGAAAACAGAAGAGATATTCTTCTATTTCTTATAAGCCTAATAAATTTATGATCTCTTTTCTATGCTTTTCTATTCAAGTTAATGACATTAGAGAATCTGAGGAAATGTTCTTCCATTTCTTGTAATCTACATAAATATATACCGTCTATTCTATACTAATTTTTATTTTTATTAAATTGTAAGTTGTGCATCGGTCAATTGATACTTCGCCCTTCGTCATATGCGACTTACCTCTAGAAATGTTTGAACAAATGGAACATTTCTATAATATATTCATCAATATGGCTGTCTCTTCAAAAACAGCAATGTTAATGTTGTTACATTTGCTACTTTCACATAAAATGGTTGAATTAATATTGAACAAACAACATTGTCCTTCTCCTAACATACAGTTAAGATGTTCGAGTAGCAAAACCGATGCTGAAATTGTTTTAACTTCAGCCGTGTAATACAGAAAATGTAATCCATTCTCTTCTAGGTTAAGTAAAATATAAAGCAATTATTTCAAAATTATTGTTTCTAATATCGGCTGTGATGTTGTAATACGTGATTTCTTTTTAGGAACATCAATTGAAAGGATTTACTTACTATCACATTTGTGTCCAATAAAACCTTTTTTGCAGCCATATTCACAACGACCATTTTCCCGATTGCATATTCCGTTCAAACAGCCCCGACATTGTTCAGTACATTTTTCGCCATAATATCCACCTGCACATCCTATAATTAAAAATACAATAACAAACATTAGTTTCTTGTTTAAATATAATTACAAATTTCGAAAGAGAATTCCGTTGTAAATACAGTACATCAAAATCCTCTAAGTACTTACAATCCACTGTTCTAAGTGTTTATTTTCAAGACTAAGTTGACTTTGGTGTTTCTTTCCCTGTACCTCAATATGATTTTTCATGTTGGAAAATTCTTCCTCATTCTTCCCTAAGCTGTCTGCAACAAAATCCGGGATCTTAGTCGGACTACAAGTAAAGATCATAGAGTGAAGGGAATTCCCGCCCCCTCCAAGAGCTCACTAGGGCGGAGAAAGCAACGTGGAAAAGCTTTGTCGCAGTGGTAGGAAACTTACTTGGGGATCACAGGGCCGAAACCTTTATGGAGCTTATTGAGACCGTAGTGAAAAACTACGGCAAAATGGATTGCAGGATGTTCCTCGAAGTTCATATCCTTGACGCTCATCTTGATAAACTCAGGAAAAACATGGGGGCGTACTCAGGGGAGAATCTTGAGCGATTCCACCAGGATACACTGGAGTTTGAATGCCGCTTTCAAGGATCGTAAAACGAAAATATATTTGTGGGCTGATTCCTAATAGTAATCATACTTATTATAAAACCCAGGTTGTGTGTGTGCGTCTGTACGTTTATATATTGGATCGGATTTCCTACATTTTTCAACCGATTTCAACAAAACTTCACAGGACTACGTAAAATTACCTTGCGGTGGTTCTGACAGCGCCAAAAATTGGAAAAACACAATTGTTTTTGCACGAAATCAATTTGAAAACACGATTAAGAGGCATCGCGAGAATGAAAGGGGGACAACTCATATCGAGTTTTACTTATTATAAAACCCAGGTTGTTTGTGTGTGTTTGTGTGTTCGTTTATATATGTGATCGGATTTCCAACATTTTTCAACCGATTTCAACAAAACTTCACTTTTTATTTTTGGCAGGTAGTGTTTCTTATTGTCTTGCACACTTTTTTCTTTATTTTTACATTCAGAATGCTTTAAAAATTCCATTTACAAGACAATTGTTTATAATAAAATTCTATTCAATCGGTAGACTCATAACGATTGAAAACAATGTTTTTGTTTGAATTTGGGTTTGAGCAATTCGTAAAAAAAAAAACGAAACAAAAAAAACTAATTAAGACATGCGTGTCCGTCAACCTTAAACAATAATCTTTGTCAATTTTATTTTTCAGTTTTTATGATGGTGGATACTTGGTCTATGTCTTACTGTTACATCCCCGGGCAACTCCGGGCTCTACTGCTAGTTTACAATATAAGCGTAAATCGCGAAAAACTACTAAATTTTTGTAGTCTCTCTTGTTTAATCCTAAAATAAACACTACTTTTGAATTTTATGTTGTTTTGTTCCTACTTTGTTTGAACGAGAGCTGAATGCCAGTTTTCCCAGTGGTAAGAAGTAAATTACAGAAATATCATTATTCTGGTCACAAAAGCAACGTTTGAAGAAAACCTTTGCTATTTTTCATACTTTCTAGACATAAGCAAATAGGAAATAATAATTGCTATCCAAGGACAAAATTGTATTACACAGTGTTATTGCTGCCACTAAGGAGAAGGGTGAATCGATACTGCAATAGGGGATGAGAGCTCACCCGTATTCTTGAAAACATGACATAGAGCTGACAACTTTCAGTGACTTGATAAAAATCATTCCGTCAAGCAGCGGTTAAACAATTTTGCCAAAATCGAAGATCTCTCGACCCTGGTTCTTAAGAATAACCCCTGTGATTTTATCCTAAGCGGTAGCCTTCGGAAGTGAGTCTATAAAAATGTTTCTATCGTGGTAGAGATATAATAGATTCGAAATGTGAAACAATCTTAATTACTCTGATATTCTATGAACGCTATTCCTAGCCTGAATCTGGTCTGTTCAGACACGATAGTAGGCTGAAAGGATCATAGGCGGACTAAGATACTTTCATGGAATGTGACCAAATGAGGGTTTTTTTTTTCAGCATAATTTCCCTTGCGTCTCACACACTTCTTCCACTGGTTTTGAATTGCTTGGATCCCATTGATGAGGAAGAATTCATCCTCTTGATCAAAAAATTATCAACAGCAGATATGACGTCATCATCACTGCAATACTGGTTTCAAGTAAAAAATTTTTATGTTGGGGAACAGATGATAATCATATGGAGCCAAATCAGTAGGATAGGAAGAGTTATTAACTAGTTCAAAACCATTGACACGCACAGCAACCATTGAAACCAAGGACTTGTGCCTTGGAGCATTGTTCTGATGAAACAAAACACATTTCGTCAGTTTTTCTGTGCTTTTGTTCTTGATAGCAAATTGGCATAGTATTCTCTATTGATGGTGTGGCCTTTTGAAGATAGTCAATATGCACAATGTTTTTTGCATCACAACAAACTGAGGCCATCAACTTCTCTGCAGATGAAACGACTTTGGTCTTCTTTGGAGCAGGTGAGGAAGGTTTACACTGAATGGATTGTCCCTTGTCTGCGGCTCAAAATGATGAACTCATCCTGGGTTAGAATACGTTCAATGAAAACCAGCTGAATCTGCTTCAAACAATGCCAGATTTCCCTGTGATCAGTCTTGTGCGCTTTTGATCAAGTGCAGAATATTCTCAACTCTCTTTTCGTGATATGCTAATAACATTCGTTATTTGATTTATAGTCAATCGCCTGTCATCCATCACCATGTGTGAACAGGATCAATGCTTTCGTCGGTGGGGGCAGCTGCAGGATTTCCAGACTTTGGGTTATCTTCAAGAGTCTCCCTTCCCCTCCTAAATTCAGCTGCCCACTTTTGCACCGTTGATAAAGATGGAGAGTCATCCCCTCATGTAGCAACCATGTCAGCTCGCATGTCTTTGAGAGCTAAACCTTTTTATGCAGGTACTTGATAACAAAGCGATGCCAAATTTTGTCAATTTTCAAGAGAAATCACTGCTACTCATTACTTTTGAAGTCTTCTTTGAACATCAGATATCAGTTTACCTGGAAAGAAACTGTACAGTTATTAAAAAGAAGAGTTGAAATTAATGCAAGCAAGACTTATACCTTCTTAATCGGCCTATGAACTTTTCAGTCCGCCCTTGTAGCAAAGTTTGAAATTTTAAATCTACATCCCTACTTTCATCAAGAAATTTCCTTTCTCTTTCGTTAACACACCTACTGAATCCCATGTGTAATATCTTTCTTTAGTGTCTTACAGTTCATTACAAACAAATATCTTAATCGCTGGAACAGATGTAGGACGTCTTTTTTAACCATTCGCCTTTACTATCGCACTTTTCATATTTCAGATATATACATATTGAACAAACAAAGAATATTGAAATATCATGAGACTTACTGTCACATCTTTCTCCAGTAAATCTCGGATTACATCCTTGATTACAAATGCCAAGTGCGTTACAGTCTCCATAGTTACAGCCATAACAAGTCTTGTCACAATTAAGGCTATAATAATATTTTTTACAATCTGAAAAGATAAAATTATAATAGACACTTAAACCAAAGTAATGTTCAGTTTTATCTGTCTCATCCGTGTATTTGTCAACATTTTTGATCTAAAGAACAGAAAAAGTTAATTATTCAAAAATTATTTCAAACAAATACTTTCATCTTTACTTTTATCATTACAAATATTTCCCCAATATCTTTCCTGTCTTCCCAAAAGTGAAAGTATGTAAAAAGTAGAATAAAAAATAGTCTTAGCTTAGGAAAATATTGCAATATTGACAAAAAAAAGTGAAAAAGAAAGAAATTTCTCTTATCTCGTTAATGTGAAGACAGAAACAGAATAATATCGGTCGTTCAATATGTCAATGTATACTTGACAATTGAAAGCAGACGTGGTATAGTGAAAAACGGAAAGTTCCACGAAAAGATAACAGATAAAAAGTATATAAGAAAGAATAGGATAATGAGGGATTTTTTTTCTTTATTTCTTTTTTATTTCGTATTTGAGATCAGGAAAGGAAACAAATATTTTTAAATAGAAAAAAAAAACGAATAAAACAAAAGAAAGTCATAAAATATGACGGGGGAAAGACCAAGATTATTAATTTGATTTTTACGGATTATCAACCTTTCCCTAACCATAACCCTAACCCTAACCTATTTAAAGCCGAAACTTATTTTGGATTATCAGAGTAATTCTTTTCATTGCGGGTGAATACTGCATTGACTTTTTAAGATAACAGTGATTTTTCCATATACAAGTATTATTATTTAACCCATAGCTGGGAGGATAAGAGATGGACTCATGAATTCCTCAAAGGTATTTACATGTAAGTGAATGTAACGATTTCGCATTCCCAGCCGATATCCATTACCCCACCAGCACATCCAGAAAAGACTAATGATATAAGAAACTAAAACAGAAAGCAATTACTACTAACGGAATGTACTACTAAAGGAATGTAATACTAAGTGAATGTACTACTAAGGAAATGTACTAGCATTAGTAATATAAAGTCCCAACTAGTTTATTCGAACTGCATGTTTACACATAAGTTTACACAGATAAGTTATCAGATTCTGCAGCAATAAATGTAATTTGGTGCTAACCAATATATCTAAGAAGAAAAAAAACTATTGTAAGAATTTGTCTCACCCTCTAGGTAATCAGAATAAAAGACAAAGAAAAATGTTGTTTATAAAACTGACGATCCCGTGAAAAGGCAAACAGAAGGAAGTGGACTTTGCAGAACCAACATAGACGACAGCCGCTGAACTTTGCAACTTCACCCTCACTAACGTCTCAACTCGACTTCCCTCGCTTATGGCAGTAAGTTACTACCTAAGAATAAAATCTGGTTTACTGCTGGAAACTGTTTTGTTCTTCACTCGTGCTTAACGATCTGGCCGAAGGGTCAATTTTAACCTACAAACGTTTGACTAAAAGAAACTCCGCCCTGTTAACGAACCTGCTATCTGGTCTGAGCCGCATCGCAAGACATACGTTAAAATCAGAAATTTAATTCAAGCGAACATGACTAATAATAAGTTACCAGATACTGCAACATTCGATATCATTTTTTATTAACAACTAATATACCTAACAACTAATAAACCTAACAACTAATATACCTAACAAAACACTAATTTAAACACTGATCTCACCTTCTTGGTATTCTAAAGTAGAACATTTTTACTATAACTGGAATGAAAAGATATCCTTTCCGATAATAAAAACTTATTTAGTTCCGTATAGCAGCGAATGTTAGATGGTCTCCTCAGAAATGAAAAAGAGATTCGAATCGACGGAGATGTGATTCTACAGAATGATGCTGTGAGCAACGATGAGGCCTTGGAGAGGATGCAAACAGGGGGGAGGCTTATATCTAACATCAGGAAGAGGCAACTGAAGTTTCTGGGACATGTAGTGAGAAAAGAAGGCCTGGAGAATCTGATACTCACAGGTTGAATAGAGAGAAACAGAGACAAGAGAAAGCAATGCAGGACATACCTGGCGGGCTTGAGCAAGTGAATGACAGAACGTGGTCTGGGGGAGGTGGCAGAGGGACGAAACTAATTGAGAGCTACAAGGGATAGGTAGGAAGTGGAGAGCCATGATCGCCTACGTCCTGAAAGGACATGGCACATAAAAAGAAAGAAGTTTGTTCATTTTTTTCACGAAACTGAATTTCATTTCAAAGTTTAATTATTCACAATAAAAGCATACAAATATTTAACGTTCAATTATTGCAGTCTTTATCGACACTTTAACACAGTCAATGTTATAATCTAAATCTTGATAAGTTCACGTCAGATGATGTTCTATTTAATACATCAAAAGATGAAAGTAGAAAAAACACTACATTTCAGAAAATTTCTGACCAATTAAGTTATTAATAAGATGACCAACAATTTACACACAAAATATCAAGTGGAATCTCAGCGACGCCAAATTCTATATACACGCATAACACCATGCAAAGAAATAATCTAACAGAATGATTAAAATACTGATGAACATTAAATAACATACTGAATCATATTTATGATGTCAAAGTTAATCAGTTATCTCACTTAGAAAGAACTACATCCGGCAGCAAGATTAGAGATTTTTTTCAGAAGCATGAAACCACTTCTTAATGGCTGTTGTTCCCTGGTTAACCCTGACCCCTGTTTTGGCTCACAGTTAAGGACAAATAGTTAACCTCTGGGCTAAAATCAATATACTAAGTATAAAAATACATTTTTATTTTTAAAATATCAACAATACATTTTTTATAAAAAAATTACCACCAATACATTTTTATAGTAAAATAACAATCAATAATAAAGTTGAAGATATGGCATACATTGTCAAAAAACCCAATTTGCTATGATTAATCTCATTTCCTGTAAGGAGAAACAAGTTTCCACTCCTTGTTTGATTTTGTAAGATTACTATTTTTTTTTTAAAATGCAGCTAAGTTATAATTTAATCATGAAACACTGTCATTTCCTTGAATTAATTATAAAGTTTATAGAGTTTTCACATTTAGATTTCAACATTAAATAACCCTTACGAGTTGATATGCAAAAATAATCAACAACCAATTAAATGTACAGTTAGAAAACTTTCAACTTAACGAATTCGAGAGATGGCAACAGATTCCCAGCCCGAAAACGGATTTGAAATTTCTGTTCGAACGTCTTATTTTCGATTGTCGCTCTGAGAAAGAACGAATAAGAAGATTCCTGTGTAGAGATATTGTCCTGTGAGGAATGTGAATTTCGAAGAAGGTATTGTCGAATTATAAAAGATAGATGATGTGGAAAACAAACAAATGATTTTCATAGATTTCTCTCTGTTCTGTCACTTATCCATGGAGATATGGGAAATGACACATACGAATAAAAAAATTTCTATGTATAATTAATATTAAACTTACGATGGCACTTGGGACCAGAGAATTGACCTTTGCACCCGAGAAGGCATATACCTTCTTGATCGCATTTGTCTGCAAGGCAATTAGAGCAGGCAGTGATGCAGTTCTTTCCGGAATATCCAGGAGCACATTCTACAATTAAAAACGAAAATTGATAGAAAATATAAGAAAAATTACTTTGTAAAAATAAATGTAATTTTCACTTTGCAACTTCGTCTTTTATAAAGATTGGACATTCTTAGATCAAAAGTGTAAATCCCTTAGAAAGATTCAAATATTCAAAAATGACAAAGATCCAGTGTTCACAACCAATATCGATTAAATTTCCGTCTCAATTTCATTTGACAAATTTCATTTCAATCTTACGGATGAATTATGAGAAAAATATGAAAAGAAATCATCAAATATTTATTGCTTTATCTGTTTATGTTTATGAGATGGGGCATTGTAACTATTTACATTATTTCACATTGTTCGGACTGTTGTCCTCATCTTTATTGTCATATTCACGACGTTTCGGCCGTTGTACGCTCCGGCTTCTTCAGATGATATACGTTGGAATTTCGAACCGAATCCTTTATTTCGTCTGTTGGAGAGTGATTATTATAAATTATAGATCAGAAGGCATTATTTTTTGTTGGATGAACGAAAACATCCCCACAAACATTTTAATTTGCTCGTATGGCACAAGGTTGTCAAACACCACAAATATAAGGTATTTTTAACAGTATTTTTTAATAAGTAATGAAAAACATTTATATTACAATATAGAAATCTGAATGATGAAATGACTCAGGGAATTTATACTGAGTTGCAGGATTTAAAGATGATGTTTTATACACAAAAATGTTTTTATATGAAAAGTAAAATGTCTTTTATTTTACGTCTTTTCAGACGCGCTGCCCTTTCTATTGCTATTTTACGCTTTTGTTGTTCCTAGACCAGGAAATAATATTTATAATTAATATTTTAATGGGTTTAATGAAAAATTTTAGATGTTCATATATCGGGATTTTTCTAGAATTTTCCAGAAATATATATATTTTCCATGTATATATTTTAAAAATCCGCGAAGTCGTGAATTCGCGATAGTAGAACCGCGAATTAGCGAGGGATCACTGTAATTATTATTGTTTATATGTTGACTATTATTCCCAACTTTAGAGTTGTTGAGCCCTGTTTGTCGATCCATGTAACCTTCAGGAAAATTGAAATTAAATCCTTTATTTAATCCAGGGGAGGTGAGGTAGATTGGTATCTTCCTGATTATGTCTACGGATATTTCATCTTGTGTTTATTTAGTACTGCTCAGTTATTGCTCTCCTCGCTTTCACTTTGTCGAAATACGCATTACCGACTCAGGGATTGAATTCTAATTTGATGCCACCAAATCCACAAAACAACACCTTAATCCATTTGGCTATTATCCCATGGGGGTATTCTCAGTATAGAATCATACATGCATGTTTCCCAGTGTGATATCTTAGTTTTCATCTCAGACAAATTTCTCAATCGCTGGAATACGACAGTTGCACAATAAAAAATATAACACCTCTTTATTAACCATATAACTGCTGCTTTATCATCATAATTGTCGTATTTCAGATATCTATATAAACTGAACGGACAAAGAATATTGAAATTAAATGATACTTACTGTCACATCTTTGTCCAGTAAATCTTGGATTACATCCTTGATTACATACACCAAGTGAGTTACAGTCTCCATAGTTACAGCCATAACAGGAGTTCTCACAATTAATGCCATAATAATATTTGTGACAATCTGAAAAAGAAAAAATTATAACACTCACTTAAACGAAAGCAATGTTTATTTTTAATCATTTTATCCATGCGTCTATAAAATTTCATGATTCAAAATTATTTCAAAGTACTTTCATTTTCACTTTTATTTTTACAAATATTTCACCGATCTTTTTCCTATCTTTGTTCACGTAATAATGAGTGGGGTTTTAAGAAAACAACAGGAAAATAGCCGATCAACGTTGATTAAACACTAAATGCAAACGATAAGTTAGCACCAGAGAAGCCATGATGCTTATATAAACTATTCTTGATAATAAGCCGAGAATCATGACGTCAAGATCGATAGAATTTATTAAATAGGATTATAAAGTTTCAAACTAGACGCGGCACTTGTTAAGGAATGGATTTGAGAAGATGATACCTTGAGTAATATTTCGAATTATCATTGCTGAAAATGAAATTGGGAAAGACTGAATGAATGATCTTCCAATGAAACTTACAGATCAGTTGAAATTGAGTCATCATTTCAAAACATTTACAGTATTCAAGCCCCATTAGGTGTATGAAACCTGTGGGTATTGTGTCACTCAGTTCAACTTCATTCAATCAAATTTATCTGTCAAGCTTTTGCGACAAGAGTGCCATGTAGAATTAATAAACGAATGAGATGCAGACACAATTTGAAATCTTCCGACTGTCATCCTTTTAGAATTGTAGAAAAATGCAAAATAGATTCACTCACACAAATTATGCTGTCGCGTTCATTTCAGAAACATTCTTACTATTAATAACTTTGAGTTATTAATAAGATAACATCCTATTCACACAAAAATGATAAATGGAAGATGAAAACATTTACACAAATCACAACGATTTCGAAATCTATACACAAACATTATAACACAATACGGAAAAATAATGCCGCGTGTAAAAGAATTATTAAATTACTACAGAAAAGAAAATAATGTACAGAATCGCATCTATATCAAGTTAACCAGTTATCTCCCTTACAAATAATAAAACGTACATTTAGAAAAGTTTTACTTTAATGAATTCGAGAGATACTGATGGACCGCAAGCCAAATAAGGAAAACATTCCAAGAAGAGATTGGAATTTCTGTTCTGGTTGTCCTATTTTCGGATGCCTGGCAAATAAAGAACTAATCCAAATTCTCTTGAGCAAAGATTAAATTCCGGCTCATTGCCATTTCTACACTATGTTCTTAATTAGTAATTTCGAAGAAGATAATGGCAAATTACGAAAGATGTGAAAACCAAATATGAAAATACCACACATGAACTTCTCTTTGTTTTGTCAATTACTCATTAGCGGAATTGGAAATGACACTTAGAAACTCGAATAATATCTATGTATAATTAATATTTAACTTACGATCGCATTTTGGTCCAGTGAAATGACTTTTGCATCCGAGAAGGCATATACCATCCTGATTGCATTTCTCTGCAACACAGTTATTGCAAACATAATGGCAGTTCTTGCCGGTATATCCAGGAGCACATTCTACAATTCGAAAAGAAAATTGGTAGAAAAAATATTAAATATTCATTTGTAAACATAATTGTAATTTTCACTTTACAAGTTGGTTTCTTATAAAGGCTGAACATTGTAAATATTCACAGTTTCAAATATTCAAAAATAAAAACCAACGTTATGCAGGTTTCACGACATTAACGATTATATTTCAAAGAAATTATCAAATATTTGTTGCTTTGTATTTTCGTCTTGTCTTTTATTTCTTGCCATTCAACTTCAACTTTGGCACAACGAGGCGATCTCTAACCTAAACTATGGAAACGTGATAACATTAGAGAAACAGAAATGTTGGGGGGGTTCAGCTTCATAAATATATATGCTTTTCATTTTGTACTTTTTCGTACTTATTGTATTGAAATTTATGTTAGAGAATAGTTTCTCTGGTTCTCCTCAGATACGGCTTACGGTTTATGTGTAGAATTGTTTCAATAAATGGAAAATTTTCAAAATATATTAAACGAGATTTTGATCAATTCATATACAATCTTATCAATGTTATCAATTTTACTGTTTCCATGTAAAACAATTGAATCAACACTGAAACTACAAATAGTTCCTCACTTAAAATTCAATTAAGATATCCAAATGTTACACAGTTTTAAATTCACCTGTGAAATAGAGAACAGGTATTTTAGAGCATACAAACGAATTCCTTCTCACATCTGCTAAGATCTTTTAATATGCAATCTCAACTTAAGAATGTAAATTTAAATCATATACTTACTATCACATTTGTAACCAATAAAACCTTTTTTACAGCCAAATTCACAACGACCGGTCTTCTGCTCACATGCGCTATTCAAACAGCCCCAACAAGATTCGGTACATTTTTCTCCATAATATCCACTTATACATTCTTTAATTAAAAAAATACAATAGGAAAAATTATTTTCTTCCTTTAAATATATTTACACATTTCGAGAGAGATAATTCCGTTGTAAATACGTGATATCCTCAAAATTATAAAATCGCTGACAATCTACAATATTAAGCATTTATACTTCAGGACTCTGTTGTTTCTTTCCATGTCTGCTTCCAGTTGATTCTCGCCACACGATGTGTCTATATGTAAAGCTGAAAATGAATATTCTAAAAAGTGAGGATATTTTATCAGAACAATATTTGTCGATCCATATTTTCAAAGCTACATCAAACGTTAGGAAATTGTTTACGCGGAGAAAACTTTCCAAAGACTTAAACTAATACAACTCGGCATCACGTTATTCTTGGTCGTCATATTAAACAAATCGATTCCAGAAGATTGAAGGCGGGAAACAATCATAATCTCACTCACATTCTCAACTCTCTATACGATTTTCTAAGTAGTTAATGTAAATATTTACGGCATGAATTTGGTGTGTGCAGATAGCAAAGTTTCAGATTTTAAATCTACCAATATAAGTAATATTGGTTATATCATAACATACACTTCTTTTATCAGGAAATTTCATTTCTCTTTTGTCTCACTTCATTCTCTGTGTGATGTCATTGTTTAACATTTTAGCCTTCACTCCAAACAAATATCTCAATCGCTTGCAATAAGACAGTTCCATTATTTATTAATCAAACATTGTTAGCTTCTCGCTACTCTATTGCTATTTCCATGGCAAATGTTCAAACGGGCTAACTTCCATAGTTCCACCAGTTCAGACCTTCACATCTACGACTAACCATGTCACGTACAAGTCGCCAAATCATACTCATTCCCTTTGTATTCGTTTGTTAATTAGAAACTTCCACTCAGACATAGTCTTCCCCAGATTTTGCATTTTGTAGAACAGACTCCACACCGTACGCTAACCCCAACCACTACAATCTTAACCTCTTCTAACCTAAAATCAGGCAGGTGCGCAAATTTAAATATCTGGAAAGTGTTCGGACAGGGGGCGGTAAGTGCGATGCTGGGATAGCCAAAGAAGCATTCCAAAAGCTAAGTAGAATATTACGAGATAGGAGGATTTCGTTGGTAACAAAGAAAAGAGTACTGAACAGCTACGTAATATCTGTCCTCTGGCAGTGAATGCTGGACGATCTCCTCAAAGATGAAGAAGAGACTCGATACAACGGAGATATGGCTCTAAGGATGCTAAGGATATCATGGATCGAACATGTGAGCAAGGTCGAGGATGCAAACAAGGAGAAAGCCTATGCTTAACATCAGGAAGAGGCAGCTGAAATTTCTGGGACACGTAATGTGAAAGGGGGACTTGGGAAATCTGGTACTCACAGGGCGGATAGAGGGAAAGAAAGACAAGGGTAAGCAACGCGTGACTTACTTAACGGGCTTAAGCAAGTGTATGGCAGAAAAGGATCTGGGAGTAGAAGCAAAAGGATAAAACATTGAAAACTACAAAGAACAGGTGGAATTAGGGTACAATGATTGCCTACGTCCTGAAAGGACACGGCACATAAAAGAAGAAGATGTCTTCGTAATAGTCACCTCTTCTTCTTGTCTCCTAGCTTTAAGCCTTTATAACAATCTAATTCAGTAAACCTCTACCTTGAATTAGATGAACAATAGTAAAAAAAATAAATAAATAAATAAATGAATATAACTTCTACCTCACTATCGTATTTATGGTATTTCAGATATGTGCAGAATGTACGACCAAAGAATATGGAAAATTGATTTGTACTTACTGCTACACCCGTCCCCAGTAAATCTTGGATGACATCCTTGATTACAAATACCAAATGGATTACAGTCTCCATAGTTACATCTGTAACACTCGTTGTCGCAATTAACACCATAATAATAAAGGGCACAATCTGGAAAGCAAAATTTTCTTGTTACATTGCCGAAATACAATGCTTATGCTTCATCTTTTGTGTGTGTGTATATGTGTGTGTGTGTGTGTGTGTGTGTGTGTGTTATATTAACGCCTGGTGGTTGAAAAGAGTCGAATGCACGTGAGACAAAGATTAACCAATAAAAATCAAGCAACACAAAAAGTAAAAATACCAGATTTTCTTTCTTTTTTTTCCTCCGTATTTCATTCTATGATGAAGCTTTAATAAAAGCGAAACATGTTAGATTGGTAAACGTTTCATATTTGTCCTTTAACTTATCCTATATATATATATATATATATATATATATATATATATATATATATATATATATATATAAATATATATATATATATCATGTGTGTGTGTCGATCTTAAGGTTCTAACAACAAATTCATATCATTATTCAGTAAAACATTTTCAGCTGCGTTGTTTTATATCTTTGGTCATCCTATTTCTTGTCCTTTACCATCTGTGTTGCATCCGATGTTTTTATCAACAAGAAACTTCTGCTTGACAAACCTCTTCGTGTTGCCATGATTTTTTCTTGTTTTCTTGTTTTTGTCTTTTTTCAAAGGCTCCAAACAAGATGAATATCTGAAATTTACTTTGCCCTTTATTGCATCTACATCGTTTAACTAAAGAACATTGTCTAGAAACCTTAGACAAAAATACAGAAGCGATGAAATTGAGTTTCATCTGAATTTACACAACAATTTTCTCTTCTAGATCGACTCACAAAAGTAGGACATGTGTCAGTAAATCAATGTTATCTCCAGACAATTCTGACAATCTAAAGATATTTTTACTGTAAATATACCTGTAAGAGGTTGATAAACCGTAAGAAAGCAAATCAATCGATTTCACTACATTTTGACAACTATTCATAAAAGTGTAAGGAATTATATAAATTATTTATCAAGAATTCTATGTAGAATGGAGATTAAACTTACGGTCGCATTTGGGCCCCACAAAATGGCCTTTGCACCCGTGAAGGCATATACCATTGTCATCACATTTCTCCGCAATGCAGTTATGGCAGGCAGAGGTGCACTTCTCTCCACTATGTCCAGGAGCACATTCTAGAATTAAAAATGAAATTTGATTGAAAATATATCAAATATTAATTTGTAAAAATAACTGTAATTTTCACTTTGTAAGTTCGTCTTTTTTAAAGGCTTAACATTCTTAGATCAAAAGTGTAAAGCAAGTTTGTTCATTCTAATGCTGATTAAATTTCCGTCTCAATTTCCTTTGACAAATTTCTTTTCATTCTCACAGATAGATTATGAGAAAAATAGTCAACGAAATCATCAAATATTTATTACTTTATCTGTCTATATTTATGAGATGAGGTATTGTAACTATTTACACTATTCACATTGTTCGGACTGTATCCTCATCTGTATTGTCATATTCACGACGTTTCGGCCGTTGTACGCTCCAGCCTTCTTCAGGTAATATGCATTGAAATTTCGAACCGAATCCTTTATTTCGTCCACCAGGGTAGATTATTCTAGTTCCACATGACATGCCTTTTCTAAATATCTTAGTTTCAGTTAATAAGTCAACTCTCCAAGGTTTTTGTTGTTGTTGTTGTTGTTGTTTAATTCTGCTATGGCCGGTTATTGAACTCATAACTGTTTGGGTCATGTCACTGGATTACTACAACCAATGCTTTTATCGAATGGACCAAATAATAAAGGTTTCGGTTCATCTCCAATTTCATTACGCATGGAACGTCATCTAAAAATAGACACACAATAAAAGTTATTTCTCTTCATGTTTGAAAATGTGCTTAAAATGTGATTTCTAATTCAGAATTTGGATTTAAAATATTTACTTACTATCACATTTCTCTCCTTCGAAACCCTTTTTACAGCCATAGACACAACGACCCGTGTCGCGTTCACATCTGCCGTTCAAACAACCATGACACGACTCTGTACATTTTTCGCCATAAAAACCACTTTTACAGCCTTTAATGAAAAATAAATTGAAAAATTCATCAGCTATTTTTACAAGAATTTCGACGCAAAGAATAAATCAATATTTTTCATTATATATAGACTCTCTCCGAAGCTTGTTGACTACTTTGACGATCATTGACTAAAAGTATTTTTTACTGAAAATCCTTACCATAAAAACACATCCACAGCTGCCTAATCCACTTATGAGGATCTGTCGTCCTGGAAAAAATGTACAATTATTGCAATTCTTAAATCTTGTGAATTGAATGGTCTGACCCAAGCGAAGATAAACACTATTTTTTTTTTATACACGATGGGATCATTTGATTTGATTTTGTTGACTGAGATTAAAAGTACGAACGTGTTTGTATCTTGCCGGCGTTTTTTTTTTTTTTTTCTATTTTTTTTTTTTTTTTTTTGACAGGAATCCCGACAGCTAAATCAGGCAGTTGACTTCAGAAAGAGAGAATACTCTAGCAATTTGTTCATAAGGCGACATTTTATCAAATGAAAAGAAAAGACTTACATTATTAGTATCAAATACGATGGATTACCTTTTAATTATGCACCAGAAAACAAAAAATATTCTAAATCCACTTAAAACTTGAAAAATAAGGCTAAAAACAACGATGCCTAACTTTATAAATTTTTTCATATTTTAATTTTATAGTTTTAATTTCAATGTAAAAGCTTAAATTAAAATTGAAAATAAAAATTAATTTAAAATACTTTGAATGTGTTTCCTTCTCGATAAAATCTATTGATACGTTTGATTAGTCAAACTCTAATTTAACCTTTTTAAACCATTTTTTTTCTTAAGCAATATATGCTTTACTTAAAGGATAATCGACGTCCATTACTCAGTTTAATAAAAGTTTAATTATTTCGGTTTGAAACAATTATTGTTTACGTTTTGCTAAAAATATCCTAAAAATATGTATATATATTTTTAAATACGGATGGGTTCATTTTAAATGGTAACACTGTAAATTCTGATTTCAGTTAAAAGTTCGTGGCTACAGATTTTTTTTTTTGTTTTGTTTTGTTTTGATTTGTTTTTTGTTTTCCTTTTGTTTCTTTACTTTTGGGGTTTTTTAACACTACGAGAAACACCTAACCGAACCACTGCCTCCGTTAACAAATGAGAGCACGCTGGGTGGACAAACATAACAAAAATTATATATTAGTTATTCGCTTAGAAAAAAAGTTGATATTATGTGTTAAATATGTTGTATATTACTTTCCTAAGTATCAATACGTTTATAAGAATAAAACAAAATTCTATATTAAAATAGTTTGCTTAGAATTTTGTTGAACTTCCATGACTAGCAAATAAAATATTAGTTAATAACAATTGGTTTACTGGATTACTCGAAACATAATGACAAAAAAAAATTAATTTTTTTCGTCCTGAAATGAGAAAATGAAAATTTGAAAATCTTCCAAACATTAACATTTTTCTTATCCGGAGATTATTTTTAAATTTTCAAATAAAAAAATCTTACTTTTTAACATTTTTCCTTTGACAATTTAGGATAAATGAATTAGAATTATATTGTATTATCAGAGGACATAAGTATATCAATAGATAGATAGATAGATAGATAGATAGATAGATAGATAGATAGATAGATATGAACAGAATGGGATAGATAGATAGATAGATAGATAGATAGATAGATAGATAGATAGATAGATAGATAGATATGAACAGAATGGGATAGATAGATAGATAGATAGATAGATAGATAGATAGATAGATAGATAGATAGATAGATAGTATGTATCTGTTATGGAACAAAATGAATAAAAAGAGACAAGAGGAAAAAAACTGTTTCACGTGCTTATAAACAAAAGCAAGGAATTCACTGGTTTATCAAGTCTTTTAAATTTGAGAATGTTCAAGTGGTTGAAAAGTCAGTCAAAGTGTCAGGATTCAAAGTTTGCCTCGCCTTAGTATATAAACACGTACAACAAAATAAATCTTACATTGCTTTGATAAAGTCGGCTAAGAATAGTTTTTTCTCTTGTCTCTTTTTATTGATTATACACACACACACATACATATATATATATATATATATATATATATATATATATATATATATATATATATGTATGTATATATATATATATATATACGATTTTTTCTTAAATAAAATAAAAATTTAAAATATTTAATTAATTACCGAATAACTTCTGAACGTTTCATTAAAAATTCGATAATAATTTAATTACAATTTAATTACATCTAGGCATTTCAACTGTAAAATGATGAGACCTGATATTACGATCAAATTCTAAAAGTCTAGGTACCAAAGAGCAAAGCTCCTCAGAACAATTCCAATGGAAATATTGGTAGAATTCTACCAATATTACAAATATTCTTGGTTGCGCAACAGATATGTCACCATCAATGATAGACAGTCATTGTGGCTTTATCAGTACCTGGTGTATTAAAGCTGTACTTTGTAATCAACAGTCGTCCTCTCCATATTTCTTTGTGGGTTACAGTTATTTAAACGAAACATGGTCTATCGTCAACTCTTCCGACTTCCAAGCCTCTCTGAATTCGACAAGGAAAGAAGCATACCAAATGATGATCTTCAAATGTATTCAGAAAACCCGGATGATCAGTATAAAGATATGTCTGATAGATTTATCGATCATCTTTTTCCCTTAAAATACACGCTAGGTGATCAAATCCATTATACGATATCAAAGTTAAGGAGACAAGAATAGAGGTGAGGAAGTTCTGCTTTCACTCCGAAATGTCATAGAGCTGATTCCAAAGTAAAAGTGTATATATATATATATATATATATATATATATATATATATATATATATATATATTACATGAATCATTCATACAGAAAACAGATATAGAAGTTAATGATATCATTAACTTCTTTATCTGTTATTTGTATGAATGATTCATGTAATGTAAATTGAACTGCACCATACTTAGTATATATATATATATATATATATATATATATATATATATATATATATATATATATATATATATATATATGGTGACAAAAAAGATTATATTGAATCAATTGAATTGCTAAGTCTGTAACTAAGAAAGTTGGTTTACTGTGTCGTGCTAGACAATTTTTCTCACCAGAATGTATCTTACACATCTATAGGTCTACGATTCGTCCTTACTCTGAATTTTTCTGTCACAGCTGGTTTGGTTTTCCTGCTATATATTTAGAGATTCTTGATATAATCCAAAGAAGAATCTGCAATTTTATTCGTTCTGACCTGGTATCTTCAGTGCCTCTCCACCGCCGTAACATATCTTCCCTCTGCCTTTTCTATAAATACTTGCATGTTAATTGCTCTGATGAACTTTTCTCTACTGCACATAGACTTTATGAATTTAAGCGCAGTAATAGATTGACGTCAAGGTCTCATCGTTTTACAGTTTAAATGGCTAGATTTAGCCGTAAGTTCTATGCTAACAGTTTCTTCTGTCGCATTTCTCTCTTGTTTAAATGCCGTGTCAATCGTTATATTCTGTCTTTTTCATTCTTATTCTTTTATTGTCCTCTCTCCTTAATAGTAGTTTTTTTTTTTATCTTCTTACGTTACACTCGGTAACTAATAACTTTACTACCTTGCTTGGAGTGAAATTATTTTTAAAAAATCGTGTGCTTTCAGATTGTAAACTTTGATATTTTACAAATGTGCAAATGCAATGCAATCTACTTTCCATTATCAACTGATTGAACGGACAATAAATATTAAAATTAGATGATACTTACTGTCACACTTTTGCCCGCTATATTTTGGATTACATCCTTGTTGACAGATACCAATTTGATTACAGTCGCCATATTTACAGCCATAACAATTATTGTCACACTTATCACCGTAATAGTATTTTTCACATTCTGAAATGAGAATTAATTTTGTTGCATTAACAAAATTTTAATCTTTTCTTGTTTGTGTCAATCTTATGACATTAAACAAAATAAACTTTTATAATTCATCAAATTCTTCGTACCAATATTACCAATTTTCCTTTTATTACAACTACCTTTTTACAAACCTGTTTCCCAAAAATTCTATGATTTATATTTCCATAGATGGTCTTTAATTATCGCTTAGAACATTTTTGACTAAGAAAGAAAGACGTTCAATTCAAAATATTACGACCAAATATTTTTTCCCGTTGGAAAATTTTACTCACATTGAACCTGCGTTACACTCAAAATTTTCACAGTGAAAAAAAAGAAAAGAAAAAGAAAAAAAACAGGAATTACCTACTAACATAGTTGCTCACGTTCATCGTAAGTAAAAAATATTTCGAAAGATAAACTAATGCAAATTCTTCCACTATTAAAGTAATCATTAACTTCATGAATATGAACGCCTAAGACTAAAATTTGAGATTTACAAATGGAAATTTAAATGAAAACATTGTCTGTATTTCCGAGAGATTTCATTTTCCCGTTTACGTTTCACTCACATAACTCCACGTAATATAGCTTTGTGCAAAATTTCGACGTTTACTAAAAACGAATGCTTCCAATCTCATATGATGGACGCATTTGCTTGTAGTTGTTTTCTTTACACGCAACAAAGCAATTAGCATCTTTTATAAATATATCCTTTTCTACCTTCATATATCTACATCTTAAATAGACAATAAATTTTTAAATTAGATGATACTTACTGTCACACTTTTCTCCGCTATGTCTCGGATTACATCCTTGTTGACAGATACCAATTCGGTTACAGTCGCCATATTTACAACCATGACAAGTATGTTCGCACTTATCGCCATAATAGTATTTTTCACAATCTAAAAAAAAATCGTATTGTTACAGGGACGGAATTCTTTTCTTATGTTAATAGTATGGTTTTAAAGAAAATTATTTATTATTCAGCAAATTAACAATATTTCCAATCTAACATTTCGCAGCAGTATTTCCAGCATTCTAGTTATTACAATTACATTTTTATATGTATATTGTTTGAATTTAACATTTTCATGTTAAATGATTATAGCCATCACGAAATTATAACTGGTCTCTCTATTAACATAAAACTGTCATGATTGTTTGCTTCACTGACCCTAGAAACTTTGTTGTGGTTACACATATCGTTTAAACTGCACTGACACGACACAGTACAATTTTCGCCATAAAAGATATTATTCGTCATTATATGTTCATTCTTTTTGTGATGGTAAAATTTTTGTTGATAACGTTTTTGTCGATGTTTACATGAAGAGATTTCTACTGAAAATACTTGACATTGTCTAAATATGATAATCTAAAGCAACTTTTGAAAATAAATCCATTTTAATTTCAGGAATAAATCTGTCTTTGTCATCTCAAAATATGAATATTGCAATCTTGTTGTGCCTGTATGCAAAACCTCTAAGTAAAAATTCATAACCATTAATTTTCCTTTTCTTAAAGTTGATAGATTTTAAAAATATTTTACTTTGTTCTTTTTTTGTGGGGGGTTGCTTTTGTTTTCAACATTAACATCTGTGTATATAAATAAACGTGTCTAGATAATATTTCACTTGATAAAGCTCCTCAAGAAACGCGTCGACATGACAGTTTTTCTGCTTGTCATTTCTTTTAACATATATATATATATATATATATATATATATATATATATATATATTCAAGTATAGGATTGGTGTATACGGAATAAATTCCATTAACCAACAATTACTATTCTTACAAGAGTGCTCAATACAGAGTAGAAAGATATAATTATTTATTTAAAATTATAACATAAATATGTTATAAAATCACTACAAAAATAGCCATTTGGTTTTAACACCTCCGGTGTCTTATCACTTGATAAGACACCGGAGATGTTGAAACAAAATGGCCATTTTTGTAGTGATTTTATGACATATTTATGTTATAATTTTTAAATAAATAATTATAGATAGATAGATAGATAGATAGATAGATAGATAGATAGATAGATAGATAAGATAAAAAATGGAAGAATTAATAATAAAAAGAAAAAGACAATACTAAATAATATCAGCTATGAACGCAGACCCAATATGGTGACCGTCTTTGGAAAATAAAAAATACATTCCCGTCAATACAGATACACATATATAAAAATCTATATCGTTAAAAAAAACTTGATGAGGGCAAATAGATAGGCGATAGCATTCAGATATATATAACATTTGCGGTTTTATCGATTAATGGATTTTTTCAATAATGGATACTTTACACTAAGAACCTATCTCTTACATTGTATAATGTATTGCCAAGTATTTTCTCCAGTGAAAAGGTATCACACAGACAGACAGACAGATAGACAGGCGCACAGACATCTCTTTTTTTATATATATATATATATATATATATATATATATATATATATATATATATATATATATATATATATATATATAGTTCTTGAGGCTGTGTATATTAAATTTCATCAGCCAGGCCTATAAAAGGAACACTTCATTCGTTCCTTAAGTTTGATCGAGGGAATATGAGTAAATTTTTTTCTATTTTATACTCTTTTTGAAACCTTTTATTTTGTTTTTAGTCGTCAATTTGTTTACAATTAAAATTTATTTTAGTGTCGTTTCAATTTTCCCTCCTCATTCGCTATTTACAAATGTATATATGTGTGTGTGGGGGGGGGGGGATAAAAATATAATTTTAAGTTACACTGTGTATTTATGGCTAAAAGTGTTCAATATGATGTAAATAAAAAAAATGGACGCTGAGGCTAAAATCGTTTCATGCTTTAACGCAATATTCCCTGCTATGTGTGTTGAGTGTTGCGTCGACTATTTATATATGCTGATCAGTGGGGTATTATAGATAGATAGGTCAAGTATTACCGGTTTTATTTTCTTATTCTAACTGTTATTGGATTGGTGAAAACGCTTATATTGCAAGTTATTATAAAGGCCAGTAAGTAGAAATGATTGTGAGTCCAAATACGGCTATTTGTAATTATTGTATAGTGTTGTTCGTTAACTTCTAACTCATTATTTATTAATGATTGCTTAGAATATATTTTATTAACCTCTTCTCTTCTAAGTATCTCCATTCTGCCTTCTATAGATTTAACAGATGATATATACTAAAATTAGATAATACTTACTCTCACACTTATCTCCGCTATGTCTCGGATTACATCCTTGTTGGCAGATACCAATTCGGTTACAGTCGCCATAATTACAACCATAACAAGTGTTTTCACACTTATCACCGTAATAGTATTTTTCACATCCTGAAAAAAAAAATCTTGTTGCAGTAACAACATTTTAATCTTTTCTTATTTATGTCAATCTTACCGATTTAAATGAAAAAGTTTAATATTATCAAATTATTCGTACCAATGTTTCGAACATTTACATTATTGTTGTGGATTCCGGGATGAAATCCGGTCTCAAATGAATGACAAACGCAGGAATGAAATATAGCAAATAAATGTATTGACGTAATATTACAATTGGTAATACGGTTAGTAGATCCTGAAATGCGGTTACTAGTAATAATAATATATATACAGTCTGAGAAATTCAGTATCGAAGTAGGACTTCCTTCTGAGTCTACGTGCTTGCAACTGTGACACCTACAACGCGGTTACCTCACACTCTCACTCTCACTCTCTCACTGTATCACTTCCGGGTATCACCGGCAGCAGTACACGTACAGACTAGGGGAGTCCACTTGTATAAAAAGGGGTTGACCCCTTAACAATTATTTATTTATATTTATATCTTTACTTTTATTTATGTTATCCTCATCTTCATTGCCATATTTACAACGTTTCGGTCGTTGCACGCTCCGGCCTTCTTCAAGTGATTGGAATTTCGAACCGAACACTTTATTTTGTTCACCAGGGTAGATTGTTCTAGTTTTACGTGCCATGCCTCTTCCGGATGTCTCAGTTATTTCCCTTTAACTCAACCCTCCAAGTTTTGGTTCACCACTGCTGTGGCCTGGTATTGAACTCAGAACTGTTTGGCTTTAGTCACTGGATCTAACGTTGTGAATATGGCAATGAAGATGCGGTAACAGTCCAAATAGTGTAAATAATATAAATAATCATAATACCTCAACTCAGAGATATAGACAATGTTTCGAAATTTGCTTTTATTACAACTGCCTTTTCACAATCTTGTTTCCCAAACATTCTCATATTTATGCCTCATTGGATGGTCTTTAATTATCGCTTAGAATTTCTTTGATTACCCATGAGAGGAAAGCGATCACTTGAAAATAATAATGACCTTCAAAATATTATGACCTAATACATTTACAAGTGGAAGCTTTTATTCATACTCAAATTATATTCCATTCACAATATTCACAGTAATAAAAAACGGAATTACCGACTCAAATAGGTGTGTTCTTTAAAATATCACGTTGATTGTAAGAAAAAATATTTCGAGAAAGACTTTGATGTAAACTCTTCGACTACAGAAGTAATCAATAACTTCAAGAATTTAAGGCTTTCTGAGACTGAACTTTGAGATTGAAAAATAGGAAATTGTCTAAGAGATGTCATCTTTACGTCACACTCACATAACTCGGTGCAAAATTTCGACGTTTACGAAAAACGAATGCGTCCAACCTTATATGATGGACACATTCGTTTACAGTTGGTTTTTTAACACGTTACAAAGCGATTAATATCTCTTATAAATATATGATTTTCTACCTTCATATATCTACATCTTGAATAGACAATAAATATTGAAATTAGATAATACTTACTGTCACACTTATCTCCGCTATGTCTCGGATTACATCCTTGTTGGCAGATACCAATTCGGTTACAGTCGCCATATTTACAGCCATAACAATTATTGTCACACTTATCACCGTAATAGTATTTTTCACATTCTGAAAAGAAAATTAGTATTGTTTCCATAACGAAATTTTAAACTTTTTCTAGTCTGTGTTAACGTTATGGCTTTAAACAAAATCAAAATGTATTATTCAACAAATTATTCGTAACAATGTTTCCACCTTTCCTTTTGCTATCACTGCTTTCTCACAAACCTTTTTCTCATACAGTTCTAATGTTGATGATTCATTAGAATGTCTTTGACCATCGTTTGGAATTTCTTTGATTTTAAATAGAAAACGATCGCTTCCAAATATTATAACCAAATAAATTTTCAAATGGAAACTTTTACTCACACTGAGATCTTATGCATATACACTCAGTTTTGCCAGTAATTTTGTGTATTTTTAGACTATTTTCTGGAAGTCAACAAGCTATTAACTTCATTTATAAATATATCTTTCCTGACATTATGTATCGATTGATTAAACGGAGAATGAATATTGAAATTAGATAATACTTACGGTCACACTTATCTCCGCTATGTCTCGGATTACATCCTTGTTGGCAGATACCAATTCGGTTACAGTCGCCATATTTACAGCCATAACAATTATTGTCACACTTATCACCGTAATAGTATTTTTCACATTCTGAAAAAGAAAATTATTATTGTTTCCATAACGAAATTTTAAAACATTTTCTAGTCTGTGTTAACGTTATGGCTTTAAACAAAATCAAAATGTATTATTCAACAAATTATTCGTAACAATGTTTCCACCTTTCCTTTTGCTATCACTGCTTTCTCACAAACCTTTTTCTCATACAGTTCTAATGTTGATGATTCATTAGAATGTCTTTGACCATCGTTTGGAATTTCTTTGATTTTAAATAGAAAACGATCGCTTCCAAATATTATAACCAAATAAATTTTCAAATGGGAACTTTTACTCACACTGAGATCTTATGCATATACACTCAGTTTTGCCAGTGATTTTGTGGATTTTTAGACTATTTTCAGGAAGTCAACAAGCTATTAACTTCATTTATAAATATATCTTTCCTGACATTATGTATCGATTGAATAAACGGAGAATGAATATTGAAATTAGATAATACTTACTGTCACACTTATCTCCGCTATGTCTCGGATTACATCCTTGTTGGCAGATACCAATTCGGTTACAGTCGCCATATTTACAGCCATAACAATTATTGTCACACTTATCACCGTAATAGTATTTTCACATTCTGAAAAGAAAATTAGTATTGTTTCCATAACGAAATTTTAAACTTTTTCTAGTCTGTGTTAACGTTATGGCTTTAAACAAAATCAAAATGTATTATTCAACAAATTATTATCACTGCGTTCTAATGTTGATGATTTTAGAATGTCACCATCGTTTGGAATTTCTTTTGATTTTAAATAGAAAACGATCGCTACCAAATATTATAACCTAATAAATTTTCAAATGGGAACTTTTTACTCAAATCTTATGCATATACACTCAGTTTTGCCAGTGATTTTGTGGATTTTAGACTATTTTCTAACAAGCTATTAACTTCATTTATAAATATATCTTTCCTTATCGATTGATTAAACGGAGAATTATTGAAATTAGATAATACTTACGGTCACACTTATCTCCGCTATGTCTCGGATTACATCCTTGTTGGCAGATACCAATTCGGTTACAGTCGCCATATTTACAGCCATAACAATTATTGTCACACTTATCACCGTAATAGTTTCTAAAAGAAAATTAGTATTGTTTGCATAACGAAATTTTAAAACTTTTTCTAGTCTGTGTTAACGTTATGGCTTTAAACAAAATCAAAATGTATTATTCAACAAATTATTCGTAACAATGTTTCCACCTTTCCTTTTGCTATCACTACAAACCTTTATCTCATACAGTTCTAATGTTGATGATTCATTAGAATGTCTTTGACCATCGTTTGAATTTCTTTGATTTTAAATAGAAAACGATCGCTACCAAATATTATAACCTAATAAATTTTCAAATGGGAACTTTTACTCACACTGAGATCTTATGCATATACACTCAGTTTTGCCAGTGATTTTGTGGATTTTTAGACTATTTTCAGGAAGTCAACAAGCTATTAACTTCATTTATAAATATATCTTTCCTGACATTATGTATCGATTGATTAAACGGAGAATGAATATTGAAATTAGATAATACTTACGGTCACACTTATCTCCGCTATGTCTCGGATTACATCCTTGTTGGCAGATACCAATTCGGTTACAGTCGCCATATTTACAGCCATAACAATTATTGTCACACTTATCACCGTAATAGTATTTTTCACATTCTAAAAAGAAAATTAGTATTGTTTGCATAACGAAATTTTAAACTTTTTCTAGTCTGTGTTAACGTTATGGCTTTAAACAAAATCAAAATGTATTATTCAACAAATTATTCGTAACAATGTTTCCACCTTTCCTTTTGCTATCACTGCTTTCTCACAAACCTTTATCTCATACAGTTCTAATGTTGATGATTCATTAGAATGTCTTTGACCATCGTTTGGAATTTCTTTGATTTTAAATAGAAAACGATCGCTTCCAAATATTATAACCAAATGGAAACTTTTACTCACACTGAGATCACTCTGCATATACACTCAGTTTTGCCAGTAATTTTGTGTATTTTTAGACTATTTTCAGGAAGTCAACAAGCTATTAACTTCATTTATAAATATATCTTTCCTGACATTATGTATCGATTGATTAAACGGAGAATGAATATTGAAATTAGATAATACTTACTGTCACACTTATCTCCGCTATGTCTCGGATTACAACCTTGTTGGCAAATACCAAATCGGTTACAGTCGCCATATTTACAACCATAACAATTCTTGTCGCACTTTTCGCCATAATAATATTTTTCACATTCTGAAAAGAAAATTAGTTTTCTTGCATTGACGAAATTTTAATCAATTCTTGTTTGTGTCACTGTTTTTCTTTAAACAAAAATGTTTAATATTCAACAAATCATTTGGGCAAATGTTTGCTACTTTCCTTTTATTATCACTAACTTTTCACAAACCTGTTTGCGTAATATTTTCATAATTACGCTTCGTTAGATTTAATTATCGCTTAGAATTTCTTCGACAAGTAAGAATGAAGATGATCATTTCAGTCTATTATGATCAAAGATATTCACGCATAAATTACACATACACTTCCCATTTTTGCCAGTAACTTTGTATATTTCTGAATGATTTTCAAAACGTCAACAAAGCAACAGATTGTGATGGATTCAAATGTAACCTTTATAAAATTATAATGAAAGATTTCGACATTATATTATTTAATTTCGAATGTCCTATCAACTTTACGAAGGCTATCATTTTTAATGAATTAAATAAATGTTTGACACTGATACATTCGTTGTAAAATATTTTTTTAAAATTAAAAAAAAGATGAAATAAAGAAGGAATCGAATTCTAATTTATCTATTTATTACAAAAATATATTTATGAAGCATGTTCATTATTCTCTGTGTTCGTATTTAACAAAACGAAACGAAACTGCGCTTAAATGGGTGTAGAGACATGTCTTTGGAAAATGGCATCCTCACGAACAATGTCTTCATGCAAATTGTAAATGAATCTCCAGCAAAGCTTTCTTGAAATTGTTTGAGTTGATTAATTATTGATCATTTATACTCTTACATCTGCATCTGTGCGGTGTACCAGTTAATTTCTATTTACATATTAAAATGTTTCTCTATATATCTGAGATAAGGTATTGTGTCTATTTATATCGTTCGGACTGTTGTTCTTATCTTTATTGCCATATTCACGACGTTCCGGCCATTCTTCATGTGACATACTTTAGAATTTCGAACTGAACCCTATATTTAGTTCAATGGAGTAGATTTATTGAACTTACAACTGTTTAGGTCAAGTCACTTTTTGGAGTACTTCAACCAAAGCTTTTATCCATGTGTCCTTGAGTTCGAAAATTCGAACGCATATCACCTGAAGAAGGCCGGAGCGTACAACAGGCGAAATGTTGTGAATATGGCAATAAAAATTAAATAGTGTAAATACTTCAAATGTTTGTACTTTGTAAAGTTTATGATGTATATTGTTGAAAGTTCTGTACTGATTAATTATCGATTTATTCATTGATTTTGTTGAAACAATCAGAAAAATCTACAGAATGAATTTTATTTATTGTCTACCATTTTATGTTTGGCTGGATGGAGTCCATCATTCATTGATTTGCGTAAGTTTACAAGTATCTTAAGATTGACATGACTAGATACAAAACTTTCTTTACATTTTCTTCTGCCTACTTCATGTGTATCTTGAATACATTTAATATTTTTGTGTTTAACGATTACAGCGATAATTAACTGACAAGTGACACTTCCGTTAGCATAGAATGTGATGTGTTCACATATGTTGGTAAAAAAAAGTACCAACACGAGACTACATATTTTACTAACAAAGGCACTTATACGACTTGGAATGATACAAATATTGAAAACACCATTGGCGCTTCTTTACAATTATTTGGAAGCAAATGATTTTTGATTATATGTTTTCTCTTTTTTGATGATTGGATTTTTGTTCATAACATCTTAGGGAATGTTTAAATGAAAGCACGTTAGTTGAAAATTCTTAACATTGTTCCAATCCAAAGATGATAGGCTAATCTACAGTAACTTCTAAAAATATCTCCATTTTTGATTCAGGAAGAAATTTGTCATTGACATTTATAAATATAGTAAACAATATATATATATATATATATATATATATATATATATATATATATATATATATATATATATATGAATAAAAAGAGACAAGAGGAAAAACTATACTTAGCTGACACGTTTCGTTCTCTGTGGGACTTGATCTTATATTATAACAATCTAATTACAATCCAAGCAATATTTATTTAAAATTATTGCATATTACTCGCTCACTTTACTTTTCAGCAGACTTTAAATTCTGACACTTTGTGCCTCCACATATTTTGACTGACCTTTCAACCACCTGATTAACATTCATGAACGTTCTTAAATTTACAAGCTTTGAAAAACCAATGATATATTCACCTCTGTGGATACAAACACGTGTAGCATAATAAATCCTACATTGCCTTGATAAAGTCCCTCAGAGGACGAAACACTTTGGCTAAGTATAGTTTTTTCCTGTTGTCTCTTTTTATCCATTTTGTCTACTCTATACATACAATCCATCCGAAAATATACATACATACAAACATATATATATATATATATATATATATATATATATATATGTATGTGTTTGTGTGCGTGTGTTCTCCAATTGATTAAGTAGTGAGGATAGAAAAAAGAATGTTTACAGGAGACCTTAAGTCATACCCTGTATTTTAAAAGCCTCTCTTTCATGTCCGTCGTTATAACGACATGAGCTACAGAAGATTCGATGATAGAACAACTTAACAATCTTAAACTCATTCTGACTTCTTATATTCTTCGGTTTTTGACACTTTTTGGTTTTCAAAATTAATAACATAAAAGTCATTTTCTACTTTTTCTACAAAACGATTTTTCATCATAATTTTCTTTTATTTTCAGTCGAGAGTTCAAAGGTTCACAGAAGAATTCGTTTAAAATCAAATCTTTTCTTTTACTGTCTAAAATATTTGCATAAAAAGCGCGGTTCTGTGTAATATTATGTGTTGTATTAGATAGCTTATTGTTCTTTTTTTATGAAGATAAACTCTTTGACCTCCACAGTCGGCATTAATTTCTGATACTTTCGCCGAGAAAACTTTGAGATTTACAAATCTAGTCTTCGAAAAATATTCTACTTTCATAAACATTTCATCTTTCCGTCTCACTCGCGTCATCTCATGTGAGATAACGTTTTTGTAATATTTCTACATTCACTATAAACTAATGTGTCAATCTCTGTAGCAAAACTCTTGTCAAAGTTATCTCTTATAAATATATCTTTTCTGCCATCATGTATCTATAAACTGAAGAGAAAATAAATACTGATATTAGACAATACTTACTATCACATTTTTCTCCGCTATGTCTCGGATTACATCCTTGTTGGCAAATACCAAATCTGTTACAGTCGCCATAATTACAGCCGTAACAAGTATTTTCGCACTTATCGCCGTAATAGTATTTTTCACATTCTGAAAAAAGAATTAGTTTCATTAACAAAATTTGATTTTTTTTTCTTGTGCGTGTCAGTTTTATGATTTTAAACAAAATGAACTTTTATAATTCATCAAATTCTTGCTACCAATATTACCAACTTTCTTTTTGCTACCGCGCTATCTTTTCACAATCCGTTTTCCAGGCTGTTCTCATGTCTGTGCTTCATTAGATTGTTTTTAATTATCGCTTAGAACTTTTTTATTTGAATATAGAAGGTGACGATCGCTTCAAAATATTATGACCTAAAATATTTTCAGATGGCAAATCTTATTCACACTCAAATCATATTACGCCCACAATTTTCATAGTAAAATCACCAATTGTCTACTCAAATAGGTATGCCTTTTAACATATCATTTTCATTCTAAGCATAAATATCTAACGTAAACTCTTCGACTACTGAAGTAATCATTAACTTCATGAATTTGAGGCCTTCTGAGACTAAATTTTAAGATTTACATATATATACATGGAAAATTGCCTGTATTTCCAAGTGATTTCATCTTTCCGTTTACGCCTAATATTATTCCATATAAATTAACTTGCTTTAATTGCTGCCACGTCTAGTCTGGGACTCCTGTTATATACTTAGAGATTTTTGATAAAATCCAAAGAAGAATCTGCAATTTTATTGGTCCTGACCTGGCATCTCAGCTTCAGTCATATTCCCACCTCCATGTGTCTTTACTATAAATAATTTCATGGTAATTGTCCTGATGAACGTTCCACTATTGTATCTAGTCTTTATGGATTTAAGTGCAGTACTAGATTGGCGGCAAGGTCTCATCATTTAACAGTTGAAATGGCAAAATGTAACAGTTTCTTCTATTGCACTTCGCATTTGTGGAATTCTCTTCCGGCGTCTTGCTTCCCAATCAACTTTGATCTTCAAATTTTAAACGTAATGTCAATCGTTATCTTCTACCTTCTTAATTCCTGTTGTTTTATTTTTTTTCTCTCTCCTTAACAGTAACACTCAGTAGTCTCTTGCGTCTTATTGGCTTTATTGCCTTACTTAGGGTGAATGATTTTGAAAAAACTTGGTGCAAAATCTCGATGTTCATTAAAAACGAATGCGTTAATCCTCATATGACTAATCCTCATATGACTGTAGCATTCGTTTGTTGTTTGTTTACACGTATCAAAGCGATTAACAGCTCTTCTGAATAAATCTTTTATGTCTTCACGTATCTCCAGATTGAACGGAGGATATATACTGAAATTAAATTATACTTACTGTCACATTTATCTCCGCTGTATCCCGGATTACATCCTTGTTGACAGATACCAATTCGGTTACAGTCGCCATATTTACAACCATGACAAGAATGTTCGCACTTATCGCCATAATAGTATTTTTCACAATCTAAAAAAACAATCGTATTGTTGCATTAACGAAATTTTAATCTTTTCTCATTTGAAGTCAATCTTACGGATTTAAAGAAAAAGAAACTTTCATGATTCAACAAATTATTCCTATTATTATTTCCAACATTCCTTGTTCTATCTACCTTAGTAAATCTCTCATTTTTACAGAGATAAACTCGCTGCTACTTTGGATTCTTATCTTCCAGTCATGATTCGTATGCGATCTACAGTTCTTGATTTCTATTTAGTATTTTTAACTGATTTACGCGCTGTTTATCGTTAGAATATTATTAATAGAATTTTTTTAATATTTTAATTACAATTTTTAATTACAATTTCTTTATATATATATATATGTTATAATATGTTTTACTATGTAGATATCATTCCAAATTAAAATTTGTACAATGTAGACATTTTAGCCGATCTGCATGATGTTTATCGCTAGAATATAAATAAAAGAAAAAACTTTTTTATATTTTAATGTATATATATATATATATATATATATATATATATATGCATATATATATATATATATATATATATATATATATATATATATATATATATATATATATATATATACTAGCAGTAGAGCCCGGCGTTGTCCGGGGATTTAACAGTAAGAGATAGATCAAGTATCGACAATCATAAAGACTGAAAAATAACATTGACAAAGATTATTGTTTAAGGTTGACGGACACACATGTCTTAATTAGTTGGGTTTTTTTTGGTTTTTTGTTTTTGTTTTTTTGGGGTTTTTTTTCCGAATTGGTCAAACCAAAACTCAAACAAAAACATTGTTTTCAATCGTTATGAGTCTACCGATTGAATAGAATTTTATTGTAAACAATTGTCTTGTAAATGGAATTTTTAAAGCATTCTGAATTTTAAAAATAAAGAAAGAAGTGTGCAAGTCAATAAAAAACACTACCTGCCAAAAAAAAAGTGAAGTTTTGTTGAAATCGGTTGAAAAATGTAGGAAATCCGATCCCATATATAAACGAACACACACACACACACAAACAACCTGGGTTTTATAAGTATAACTCGATATGAGTTGTCCCCCTTTCATTCCCGCGACAGCGATGCCTCTTAATCGTGTTTTCAAATTGATTTCGTGCAAAAACAATTATGTCAGAACCACCGCAAGGTAACTTTATGTAATCCTGTGAAGTTTTGTTGAAATCGGTTGAAAAATGTAGGAAATCCGATCCAATATATAAACGAACAGACACACACAAACCTGGGTTTTATAATAAGTATGATATATATATATATATATATATATATATATATATATATATATATATATATATATATATATAGTAGTACGAGTTATAAATCCGTTTGTATATAATCCAAGTGGATCCTAGTAATATTAAATAATAAAACTGATCCTCAAAAAGAGTATAATGTATTTATTATAATAGAGCATATAAATTATACAACAATATCCCAAATGATCTCATATGGCGGTGGGGTATAGATCTATTTCAACCAACGATAAGTACATTAGTCTTATTCAACCCCGGTGTATAGACTGCGTTCGTGTTAGAATTAGAAATTTAAAATTAAACTTTGACGTCCGTCGAAAAATTGATACCGAATTTATCAATTTTGATGTTTCACTCAGACGAAATGCCCCAGTCGGTGATCAGGGGGAGGGTGGAAGGTATTAGACTTAAAGGGAAGAGATTTTATAAAATCAACCTGGACATTGACCTTATGACATTAAATTGGAGTTATATGAAGAATGAAGTTTTAAATTGAAACTAAAAGATGGCCGGAAAAGGGAGTTTTATAAGTAAGAATATAATTAAAAAAAATCTATATTAAAGAATAAAGAAATTTTATATTAAAGAAAAAAAATATTTTAGCCGTTGTTCGTAATGTTTATCGCTATAATATAGATACATTTTTTATAGTTTAATGACATTTTCTTTATGTTATATATATATACACATATATATATATATATATTATAAATTAACTGATTTAAATTATTTTTTCGCTACACAGTAATAACCATGTTTGAAACATGGTTATTACTGTGTAACGAAAAAATATTTTAAATCAGTTAATTTATAATATTTATGCTCTGCAAATTTACATTGAGAACTGTTTTGTAAAAATAAAAATAAAAAATATCAATAAAAAACAGCGGATCTTACTGATCTTTCTTTATATATATATATATATATATATATATATATATATATATATATATATATATATGCCATAAAATGTATTACTATGTAGATATCATCCCAAATTAAAATTTCTACGGTGTAGATATTTTTACCTTTTAGATAACAAGCCAAAATAGCACCATAAACTCTTCAAAGACGGCTGTAAATAATAACTTAATTAATGAATCTAATACCTTCAGATAGAAATCTATCAGATTTAAAAATTTAAACACGAAATTTATTCAATATTTACAATTAAGACATTTTATCATTCCATTTCTGTCCTACTTCCATCATCCGACGTGAGAGAACCTCTTTGCCTTTCCACATTCGCCCCAATCAAACAAGATGGCGGTTAGCGACAGGGAAACGATAATCATCTCTAATAAGCATATTCTTTTTTTGCTTTTAAAATATTAAGAGTGAATATATTTTCCAACGGTAGATCTTACCCACAGTGAAACCGCATTAGACTCAGAGTTTTCGCAGTAGAAACCGGAATTGACTACTGAAATAGATGTTCCCTTTTAAATATCTCGTTAATCCTAAGAATAAATATTTAGAGAGATAGTCTAATGTAAACTCTTCGACTACTTATGTATTTATTAACTCCATGAATTTGAGACCTTCTGAGACTAAACTCTGAGATTTACAAATATATACACAGAAAATTGTATTTCCAAGAGATTTCACTTTTCTGTTTACGTATCACTTATATAAGTTCTGGGTTTGACGATAAACTACATCTGGCAGCAAGGTCTCTGATCGGGAGATTGGAGGTTTCGTAAAACTTGGAACCATCTTTTATTTGCTGTTATTCCCAAGGTCACTCAAGTGCCTGATAGGACCGCAGCTATGGGCAAATAGTGAATCCCCCAAACAAAAACATAAATGTATAAAAATACATTTTTATAGTAAAATTACCGGCAATATCTTTTCCTATAAAAAAAATTACCAACAATACAATTTTATTGTACAATTACCAACAATACAATTTTATTGCACAATTACCAACAATACATTTTATCAGTAGCTGAAGGTAAACAACTGCGTTCAAAATATATTTAGTTGAAGGCATAAAATTATGTTCAAAATATTTCGATTCCGGTATTAAATAACCTATAAAGGTCAATATACCGTTAAACAAAATCAACCAACCAAGCAACTCACTTATATAACTCCATGTAAGATATCTTGGTGCAAAAATTCGACGTTTACTAAAAACCTTACATAATAGACGCGTACGTTTATAGTTGATTTGTTTACATGCAACAAAGTGATTAACATCTCTTTTTGTATATTTTCTGCTTTACGTATCTAGATTGGACGGACAATAAATATTGAAATTAGATGATACTTACTCTCACACTTTTGTCCACTGTGTCTCGGATTACATCCTTGTTGACAGATACCAATTCGGTTACAGTCGCCATAATTACAGCCATAACAAGTATGATCGCATTTATCTCCATAATAGTAATTTTGACAACCTAAAAAGAAAATTTGTATTGTCACATTAACAAAATTTTATTCTTTCCTTTTTATGTCATTCGTATGGATTTAAAGAAAATGAACTTTTATTATTCAACAAATTATTCGTACTAATATTTCCAACTTTGCTTTACCACTGACTTTTCACAGACCTGTTGCCCAAACGACATAAAATATAATCAGACCTTTAACGATTTAACTGCCTACAGCAGTCTTTCTTCGGACGTTTCTACAAACTGAGTGTCTTCATGGATCGGCCGTTGAATTCACTGATATCATCGACAGTAGTTGAGACGTCAATCCTCTTTCTTAATTGTGGATTTGCAACGAAATTCTTCAGCTTAAAGAATTTTTTAGTGTTTACACAAATGCTAATACCAGTGATTATCTGACTTCGAATAAAATTAATTTAAAATTAATTTAATTTAAAATAAAGACAAAGAAAACAAAACCTTAGTTCACATTGAGATGTCAACATTAAATATGTTTGTACTGCTCGTTTAATGGCAACATTTTCTTCTGACAGATTAATGTCAAAAGCCAATATGAAAATAGGAATATTAACAACGGAAATAAACATGGGCTTGCGGACATATCACGTTGCAACAGGATCCCATACGATCACTGAAGTTAAGCAACATCGTGCCTGGTCAGTACCTAGATAGATTAATGCTTAGGAATACCAGGTTCTGTAAGTTTGGATGTGCGGGTGGTGTAAGAAATAATGGCTCGAAATTCCAATTCCTGTTGGGTTCGTGATATTCACTTACGCACAAATACCCTTGAGAAAAATATGACTCCACCTCTTTTCCCCCCAGTTATGGGTTAATCAGCAAAACTTATATCAATAAATCATTATTGTCTCCAATAAAAAAAATTCTTACAATCTAAAAATATATTCTGGCTTTAAATAACCTGAAAAAAGTTGATAAGCCGTAGAAAATGAATCAATTATTAAAAACCAGAAATAAACAAAAGTCGATTTCCATTTTCTTGTCAGGACCTAGATGAGTCATTTTTTAAGAATAGCAGGTGGTATAATATTGGATGTGCGGGGGGTATAATCAATAATGGCTCCGAATTGTTAGTCAGAGAGCTGAGTTCCAATTCCAAATGGGTTCGTTACATTCAGTTACGCGCAAATACACTTAAGAAAGGCATGAACCCATCTCTTCTGTACCCAGCTATCGCTTCGAATAGTAAAACTTGTGTCATTAAATCATTATTAACTCCATTAAAAAAAGAATTCTTTCAATGTAAATAGGTTAATAAGCCGTAGAAAACGAATCAATCAATAAAGAAAAAAACAGAAATAAAATGATATGTCCTGGAAAGGGATATATTTGAACGAAGTAGCTAAGTGGTTTTGGCTACTATAACCAAATAGAATACGGTATCAGTAATCGACTGGTACGCGTCGTAGTCGCAGGTAAGAAGTGTAGATCAATGGCGTAGTCCAATGGGCGTCGTTATAGACTTAGCTCTCAGGCTAAGGCTCTCCTACATGTTCGTCGGTATTTATGACGGACACCAGCCAATCATATTCCAATGAAGGGGAACATAGGTGTACGTATATCCCATTATATCATAAACAAAAATTGATTTCTATTTTTAAAGCTCCTATAAGGGGAGGTTGCTATGATCGAAAGATTTATTTTCCCCATTTGTGTTTTCCCCCATTATGGGCATTATTATATCCATTATATAATAACACTGTAGTTCACGAACGGGATGGGAGGGAATGGCTGAAAGGAAAAAGAATAACAAACATGCTTTGTTCTCAAAGATACTAAGACATATAGAAAATTATATCTACATATATACACGTGTCCCACGCGGAGAAAAATATATTGCATATATCTACACAACTAAGCAGAGTGTAAGGATAAACAAAAAGGAAGGGTTTTACATATAATATGGAGATACTCTTATGTCTGGAAAAGCCATTTTTAAGTACCCAGGTTCAAACGGACCGGATTCATCTATTATGCCCCAGACGAGGACATATTCTTTGAACGGGAAACAGTGAAACTTGGGGTTTCCTAAGCTGGAGTCTCTTTCTATATCTGAGAAAGATATATTCCCAAGAGGAAACGGCGCCATAGACTTGTAAACTGCTGGGGACTCAGAAGATTTAGCCTCTGCTTGGACCATGTGGGTGGGGGCTAAAGAAAATATCCTTTCGTTTTGGCTACTGTAAACAAAACTGAATTTGACTGCGGCTTTCGTCACTGCATGGAATGACATCACTGAGCGGCCGTCACATGACCCACTTGACTTATTTCCATCAAAGGGAGATAATCGCCTTTTGTATCCCTACACTTCTATTTTTCTTCGCAATGCTCTATTCATAAAAATTGACATCAGCAGATTATTACTAACACAATTTTGTTTAGTTTCTTGTACATATAATATTATTCACATTGTAAGGATTTATTTTTAAAAGTTGTTATTTTATTCCCCCACCCCACCAAAGACACATTCTGCATATGGGGACTAGTTATGACTTCATAGAGACTTTGTGGTATTATGGTGGTTGTAGAAAGAATGGTAAGAATATTGTATAGTTTATTGGGTCAGTAATTGCTAGGTAGGTTTAAAATAAGATAGATGATCAGCCTGCCACCCACCCAATTCTGTCTGTGTGCCAGATTTTTGTATTAATACAAAAACAAATATCATTTGAGGCATAGTTGATTTACTCAAATTTTTCCATTGCATTTTAATAAAGCTCATCTTTATTCTCCCTACCCGGTTTTCTTTTGTTTCGACACACTAATTACGCTCTTCCGAATTCTTGGCTATTTTGAACAAAGACAACATAACAACTCATTTATGGTGGAATATGAAATGATATTTTAGATTTATATAGACAATGAATATTAAACTTACGATCACATTTGGGTCCGGCAAAATGACCTTTACACCCGAGGAGGCACACTCCATCGTTACTGCATTTCTCATCAATACAATTATGGCAGGCATATACACAGTTCTTTCCTTCATATCCGGGTGCACATCCTACAATTTAAAAAGAAATCTGCTTGAAAAAATATCAAATTTACATTTGTAAAAATAAGAATAAATTTTTATATTTTCAAGATGTTTTCATCTTTGTTGTCATATCCACGACGTTTTAGCTGTTGTACGCTCCGGCCTTCTTCAGATGATTGGGATTTAAATAAAGGGTTCTGTGCGAAATTCCAAATCCCCTGAAGAAGGCCGGAGCGTATAACGAAACGTCGTGAATATGGCATCAAAGATGAGGACAACATTACTAACAATATAAATAATGTAAACAATTTCATATTGTAGACAGAGAAGCCTTAATAAATAGACACATTGTATAAAGTGATTTTTGATTCAGAAAGAATTTGGATTTAAAATATTTACTTACTATCACATTTCTCTCCTTCGAAACCCTTTTTACAGCCATAGACACAACGACCCGTTTCACGTTCACATCTGCCGTTCAAACAACCATGACACGACTCGGTACATTTTTCGCCATAAAAACCACTTATACAGTCTACAATGAAAAATATATTGGAAAGTCGATTGACACTTCTTCACAAGAATTTGAACACAAAGAATAAATAAATATTTTTCATTACATGAAGACACTTTTTGTGATAGTAGAAAGTTTGTTAAAGACATCTTTGGTGTCATTTCAACGAAAGCATTTCAGTTAAACTACTTGAAATCGTCCAATTACAAATTTGACATTCTCATCTATAGTATCTTTTTAAAAAATTGTCTATTTTAGATTTAGAGATGTTGTTGTTTTTTGACATCTCTGAATTTATCAAACAAAATATGTTATTAATAAATTGTGTCGTTTATAGTTGTTCTCTTCGCTCTATTTGAAGGAGGTTGCGTGTAATTTGGTTATTTCTCCATTCAAAAGCTCTGAACTAAAATCCGTAACCTGTACATATACGAATATACCTATCTACTATGGCAGTTAGTCACTCCATGTTGCATACGCCTGCTCAGTCACGTGTGTAGGTTCAACACCTGTGGTTTATACTGAAACTATACTGAGCACCCTTTTAAATTAAATGTTACGAAATTTACTAATTGTACTCTATTCGTTCTCATCTTACCTTGATATATATATATATATATCCAAGTATATAATTGGTATATACGGAATGAATTCCAATAACCAACAATTACTATTCTTAAAAGAGTGCTCAATAGAGCAGATATAATTATTATTTATTAAAAAAATTATAACATAAATATGTTATAAAATCACTACAAAAATAGCCATTTTGTTTCAACACCCTCGGTGTCTTATCAAGTGATCTATACTTGGATTTTGATTGGTTATTCTAGCTTTTGTAACAATGTTTCCCCCTAGTGAAGGATCGTTAATTAATTTGAAACTTTTAAAACCATTTATTTTATCTTCAACATCATCACTTGATAAGACACCGAGGGTGTTGAAACAAAATGGCTATTTTTGTAGTGATTTTATAACATATTTATGTTATAATTTTTTTTATAAATAATAATTATATATATATATATATATGTGTGTGTGTGTGTGTGTGTGTGTGTGTGTGTGTGTGTGTGTGTGTGTGTGTGTGTTCTTGTGTGTTCTTAATTTTCATTTACCGCCAATATATTGTGGCCGTGTTCATTAAGGGTTGGTTTCCACCATTTTGAATCTCATTTTTACAATGAGAAGCACGTATAACATTCATGTTCTCGATAAGTATGTTACGTATTGATATTGGTATGTTTCCTGGGGTGTCATATAAGTTTATATAACAGCGCTTATTTATTAGTCGTATAGCTGTGAAGTAGAGTAGATCCCCTAGCCTTGATTGGCAACCAGTCGACTGCGGAAATATAACGGCAGCCTACTTTCGCCAAATCAATCATAAATCAACAGGAGACATGATCGCCCAAACATGGATGACGCATGGCACATAAGAAAGAATAGACAAAAAATCTTTGAAAACAAAAAGAAATGCTATTTTAGACAATGATTGAATTCATTCAGTTCTGAAAATAAAAACACTCGTACGCATAAAATTAAAAATATATATTAAAAAACTAAACAAAATGTTTCTTGTCAATCTTATTCGACGAAATATATTTTAAATAGGGATAGCTGCTCAAATGTACAAATATATATATATATATATATATATATATATATATTGTAATAAAAAGAAAGAAAAGTAAGATATATAATCTGTGTTCATTGTAATTTCACTGTTTTTCCACCAAAAAACTTATTTGTTCATAATATTATGAAGTAAGTGTTTTTTTCTTTATGTTTAATGAAAGAAATTCTAAGCGAAACTTTAAAACCATCTAAGGAAGCATAAATATGAGAACATTTAGGAATCAGGTCCGAGAAGTAAAGAAATTTCTATTTATTATAACGACGAGGAAAACTAAACCTTAGTCCACAATGCAATACCAACATTAAATATGTCTGTACTGCTCGTCTAATGGCAACATTTTATTCTACCGGCTTAATGCCGAAAGTTAATATAAAAATACGAATATTATTGACAGAAATATAGAAAAGCATTTATCTTCGCAATTCTGATCATCAAAATGACACCAGCAGATTCAATATCTTTCTTCACCTGAGATTTTTAAATTTACTGACATCAGTTCAGGCAAAAATTAACAACAGGAACGATAATAATTTTTTTTTAATCTTTTTACCCCAAGCAACTAAGACGCAATGGGTTCCTGAATGTCAGACAATATGAGAAAAAACACTATTGAGAACAAGAATTAAAAAGACAAGATAACGATTTGCATTTAAAATTTTGAAGATGTGTAATCTACCTTATGATCTTGTATAAATGGATGTCAGAACAGTTGGGGTTGGAAGGATAATATAGGTATATACATTGCTAAAAGCTAAAACGAATAGGAAGTTATAGGAGACCATGATCATGCATGTCCTCAAAGAACACAGCACAAAGAAAGAAAGAAAGAAAGAAAGAAGGGGAGGAAGAAGAAAAAAGAACGAAAAAAAGAAAGAGGAAGAAAAAGAAAGAGAAGAAAAAGAAAAGTCTACACGTTGTTGTAAATTTAATATTATGAAATAAATACATACCGTGACAAGTATCCCCTGCATAGTTTGGTTGGCACCCATGAGGACATCGGCCAGTTTCTGGATTACAGTGTGTGACTGCACAGTGGCCACACGTTTTCTCACAATTGATTCCGTACTTACCCTTTTGACAAGCTGGGAAAAAACATTTAAAAAATGAGTTATTATATCTGAATCTATAGGCGAATATTTAAAAAGAAGCACTATTCTTGGTATATGAACTATTTTTGGAATTTTCCTATTTGGTCTGCTTCAAAATAAGTTTTTTTTTTTTTGTTTTTTTTTGTCATGCATCTATTACGACAAAATAATGAAATCTAATATTTGAAAGGGAAAAATATAAAAAAAAAACGTCTTCATCAAATACGATGGTTGCAGTGATATTTAAAAATTACTGAGTTCAACAAATGACCAAAAGAGAATAAGAAGATTGTGTAGCAACAACATTCCAATTAAATAGAGTTTGTCTTCTTTAAATTCAGCATTCAAAGACCTGGGTTAGTGCCTCAGTAATCATGGTCAGGAAATATACAACTAACGAAATAGCAACACAATAATAATAAATACAATAGAGAAAACGTTAAATTATAGTTACAAATTATACAAATTATATATATATATATATATATATATATATATGATAATTATTTTTTTAAAATATGTTTCAATGTTTGGAATCCAAAAATTTCGCTTGAGGATGAAACAGGGTTTGATACTTTAATTCAATTTAATTTCAATAATTATATTGAAGTTTTTGGCTCCTGTTTTTGAAACGTGAGAACTCTTATGTAGCGAAGTAATCATATTTTTTAAAAAATAATTATAATTTAGGCTCTACTTTTGTATTGAGCACTGTTTTCAAAATTAAAAACAAAAATACTAAAGAACTTTGGATTATTTACCTAACGAGTTCTTTCCTATTTTTCTATGTATTTGCACACACACACACACACATATATATATATATATATATATATATATATATATATATATTAAAAAAACTAAGACGCAACCGTCGTTTCAACCATAATAAGTATCATCATCAGGCAGTACGTGAAACGTATTGGCTGTTGACAATCTATATACAATAAGTCACTATTTAAGAGGAGTAAGAGTATGGGGGTGGGGGAATAATATTAGAATCTGCCTAACTCTCATCCTGGCTCATAATTCTCCAACATAGACTTTCTTAAGTGTCTGCATTTTGCCATTATTTCCGATCTTTCGTTAAACAACTCACTGTTATCAATATCAGTTACGATGGCTAGTTTCTCTTCTTGGCATAAATTATGAGATCCACCAATTATTTTTACCATACTCGTTGTAGAACCCTCTTTCTGATATTAGAATTTTTATTGTACTTTTCAATAACGGTCTGCGAGTCTTGTGTTGAATCTTTGATGTTGGGCCCTAAACGAGGAAGTATGGTTTTACCATCACTTTTTCAATTTGCCTTCTCGACAACCAATATATTTCTTGAGTGTACAATTATCATTCTCTGCGTCAGCGCAGTACACCACCCATCGCCTACAACACACTCCCCCTTCAAAGGACAATTTTCTTTATTTCTACAGTTACACAAACTTGTATTTCCCCCTCCTTGTTCTTCTGCTTCTGCTTAGTTTCTTCCATTAATCTCTTTAATTATATTTTCAACGACTGTTTTTAGTTGTTTCTCTCTGTCGAATGAAGATAGCTGAGTGGTAGAAACTCTGACTGATCGTTTGGGTTTCGATCCGGGCTTGAAGTATTTGGATGTTTAGTCGCACTGAGAAGCTGTGATACAGCGAAACAGTACTGTCTGCGAATGACATATATATATATATATATAAAACATATATATATATAACAATTTTTTATTATATATATATATATTAGTAAAAAATATTGGAACCAAAATAAATCAATTAATTCTTTATACACACACACACACACACACACACACACACACACACACACATATATATATATATATATATATATATATATATATATATATATATATATATATATATAAAGAATTAATTGATTTGGCCCAATAAAATCAATTAATTCTTTATATATATATATATATATATATATATATATATATAAAGAATTAATTGATTCATTTCCCGTCCGATATTTATTATTTATAGATATTCATTACAATAAAGTTTGAAGTAATAAAAATATCGGACCCAAAATCTCTATAATTGTCGTAGACGCCCTGTTTATATTTTAACACTATTTTATTTTGTATATATATTTATATATATATATATATATATCGGATTAAGACAATCGGAAAATTTGTCACTTTGATGTTATATTTAGCGCTCCCATTCCAATGTTTCGTAGATAAACATCTTTTTATAATCATTTGGTACCCTTGACGATTTTTGTTTAAGCTTTCCTGCTTTTATACCGAGGAAATGTGTGTAAATAGCGGATATAATATTCCCAAAACTTTTTAATCGAGTTATTTTGGTTTTTCGTTTCGCCATTTTCAAGATTTTTTATCGGAAATGAAAAATAATATGATTAAAAATTTTATTGAATGTGTGCATTGGGTTTCAAAAAAAAAACGACTTTATTCACCTGCATAACGAATATCTAGCTTTCCAGGTGCTCAGAACTTTTGCACATTATCTATTGTCTTTTCAAGTTCAATTATGAAATTGCGCGGTTTGTGCTTTATGACAATGTCACATATGGAGCAACATGAAAGCGATATCCTCTTAACAAAACAGTTATCTCAAAATTCCTGGGCCTTGATTGAAGATCTTATTCAATTTTGGATTCATTAGTTTAATAATAACGGCTACAAAACACTTCAGAATTAATAAATTAGATATATGCATGCAAAAGTTAAATTTGAAAATAAAATAAAAAAAGCCACTTACAGTTATCGCATTTGGGTCCATAATGTCCTGGTTTACATCCGCTTTCACAAGTACCAAGTTCAAAATCGCATGCATTGTTCAAACAACCGGAACATGAGTTTTCACATTGATATCCATACCAGCCTTGTTGACATTCTGTCAAATAAGACGTTAAACTTGAATTTTTGGATAAACTAAATTCATAACTACCGTATTTTCCGGACTATAACCCGCGACTTGTTTTCTCGAAATATGCAGGGTGCGTGTTATATAATGATGCGGGTTATATATAAATTCTGTCTTCGAACCTTGAGTGGCCGGGGTTAGGGTTAGAGGAAAATAGCTTCACAAAAAACCGATCGCCAGCGTCGAACCAGTTATGTCCAAATAGTTGAATTTATAGGAGTGCGGGTTATATAAAGGTACAGACAATAGTGCGGAAAATACGGTATTTACACTATTCACATCATTTGAAATGTTATCCACATCTTTATTGTCATATTCACGACGTTTCGGTCGTTGTACGCTCCGACCTTCTTCAGGTGATAACGTTGGAATTTCGAACCAAACACTTTATTTCATTCACCGTGGTAGATTGTTCTAGTTCCACGTGCCATGCCTTTTCTGGATATTTCAGTTTCAGTTATCTCCCTTTAGTATCTCAACTCTCCAAGTTTTTGTTCACCTCTGCTGTGGCCAGTGGATAAAAACGTTGGTTGAAGTAATCCAGTGATTGGATTAAGATAATCTACTGGACACATGACCCAGTGGATAAAAGCGTTGGTTGAAGAGGATTGTGTAACGCTAATAAATATGGGTTAAGAAAATTGTCTAGCGCTAATTAAGATACGTTAAGAAGATTGTGTAGTACTAATTAAAATGGGTTAAGAAGATTGTGTAGCGTTAATTAAGATAGGTTAAGATGATTGTGTAGAATATTAACATTCAAAATGATTACTTGCATTTTTTACATTATTCGGACTGTTATCCTCATCTTCATTGCCATATTCACAAAGTTTCGGCCATTGTAAGCTCCGGCCTTCTTCAGGTGATTGGATTTTCGAACCGAATTCTTTATTTCATCCATCGGGTTAGATTGTTCTAGTTCTATGTGCCATGCCTCTTCCGGATGTCTCAGTTATTTGCCTTTAACTCAACACAGTTTTGGTTAACCACTGCTATGGCTTGGTACTGAACTAACAACTGTTTGGGTCTAGTCAATGGATCTAACCAATGTCTTTATACAAACAGATATTCAAAATGATGTTTTTTTTTTATCGGAGCTTGCTGAACAAATGCAATGGAGTCCGTCCTACACCTTAACAAAGCACAATTAAAAACTGCTATTAAATGTAAAGATAAATAAATAAAAATCATAATTTAACCTTTAAAAAAATAAGGTTTTTCATTATTTACAAGAGGCTATGAAGAAAATAAAGCTTCTTCTCCTGGCGAATCTGTGGCATTGACAGAAAAGAAGCAGTTATTTTAGTCACAAGATAGATCATTATTTGTACAGTGTCACCAACGTTATCGTAACAAAATGTAGAAACTCTAGCAAAGCAACTTACTTTCACAGATTACTGGGTATCGAAAATTTGCTTTACATTCTGTCATGAAGTATGGGCTTCCTTTGAATAATTTTAGAGCCATGTAATCTCTTCGAAATTTGGCACTAGATTGGAAGCTGTTATAGTCGACATCAAAATATTTTCCTTGACAGCTTTTCCACTGCATTTTGGCATTATTCTTCCGCCCGCCCATCCAGACAACTTCTAATTTTAGTTCTGAAAAATAACAAAATAAGATACAATCAAATGACAAACGTGCAAAATTGAGATTAAATGAATTTTCGAAACAATATACGCTGAAATCTACTACAATATATTTTCAAGTCCAAATTTTAAAGGATATTTTAATGCATATGTAGCGGTCTCTAAATGATGATATTTCATCACAGCTAAAAATAGAAAATCTTTCCATTCTTTTGCCACCAAAATCTTTGTGATACTAGCATTACTGTTCCCTTAGCCTCTAGACTGAAATTCTGGCTACTACAACCACCCTCCAAAAAAAAAAAAACAGTATCTCTTTACCGGTTACGCAGTTTAATCGCCAAAAGAATTCGGGACTGATATATTCAAGTAAGTTAAATAAAAACAATGGAGAATATATACTACAAACAAAACCTCATTTAATCATAATACTAAAAACATTTAAGCACTGTTAAATCACAATTGACACGCACCAAATTTATGTCTGTAACTTTATTACCAACATATAATTACATAAAAAGGAATAACGCCTCAACTCAATATCCTGTTGTGTTTTTTCTTCCATGTTTTTCCTTATCATTCATTTTCAGTATTAACCCAGATGATTCCTCTGCTACAATTTGGAGATAGATAGTTAAATTTACTGTAACTTGTTACGCTTTTACTTTTACGACTACAACACAAAAAACCCACACACACATTCATAATAGTAACAACCCCATCCACTATTTTGTAGCAGTGGAGATATAAACTCCCAATTGCTGCAAATACTATGTGAGATGACCTTCATAGTCACATTGCCGAACATTGTCACCTACATGATGATTGTGTGCTACAAATGATGAAAGGTGGATTACGATGGTTGGTGCCATCAAGTGTTTGGTAATTCTTCTGTTTTATTGAGAAGAGTCGTGTCAGCAGACATTGTCTTCGTTTCCAAAGCTTGCTGGAACCAATAGGAAAGAAAGAAGAGATCATTGGAATGTGTTGTGTAGAAAGAAGAAAACAATGACGCCTCCCTTTCTCTACATAAGCGAAATCCGAACATATGACATCACTATGATTTTATTGGTCAACATCTGTTAATAGATATTTAAAACAAAGGAAGTCAACTAGACTGACCGTTGATACTATTGTGTGAACAAAAATAAAATAACATCCAAATAATTTCCAATGAATAAGGACGAGGAGTCAATGTGACCCAACAGAATAAGTTTTTATAAATTAAAAGAGAAACTTAAGCCAAGAATATTTTCGATAAACAAATTGGGTGTGATATTTGTAATATCACACCCAATTGGGTGTGATATTACAAATATCATACCCTGTATTATCCACAGTTTTTATACGTGAGACGAGGAGTGGGTAAGGACAATTATTACAGTGTTTATTGACCAAAATAGAAAATAGTCATCTCTTCTCTACTGATATTTCATTGAATTTCTACTAACAAAAAAAGTCTGTCAACGACCTCTTGTTATCTTAACTTTAAGAGAGGCAAACTGCGATAGACCCAAAACTATTTTATTATTAGCTAAAATAATATAAAATTCAGTTACTTGATTACTCTTTACTACATCCATATGTTAAATCTAATCTGATATAAAATGTGTTTCAAGGGTTCCAATATACTCAACCGGTGAAATTGATGAAATATACTCCCGTAGTGCGTACCCCTAGGTAGTAATTCGCCTATGAAGGGGGACTAGGTTCAATTTCTGGTATCTAAGGTGTCCTAAAAAAAGTACATGCCAAGTGGGTTGGACTATTTGGAATCTCTGGATCTATGTACGCGTCGAACTTCCATTTTAAACTCGGCCTTGCTCTATATTCCATTTGAGCAGCCACTCAATTGAGAAATTTCCTTGCGCTTAAATAAGTTTTTATTGGTGAAAAAATAATGGGATTTGCAATCCGTACAGATTCTTCACTGTTGAAAATGCACAGGAAATGATGATTATATAAAAAATAGTTTTGTTTGTTTTTTTGTTTTTGTGTCGTTATTTTTTCTTTTGTTTTGTTTTTGTTTTTTTGTTTTGTTTTTTATTTTATCTTAAAACCTGATTTATCTAATTATCAGGTCATCCCATAAGTTCTGTCCGAATTTTAACCTTTTGTTAAAATGAACGAAATTTAAAGAGTATTTTATGATGTCTTATGGAGCTGAACATTATTTTTATGTTTAGATGCATTTAAACTGATCAATTTTTATTTGAGAGAACAATAAAATTAAATTTTGTTTGATTAAAACCCTGATAACATGGAAGTACCCAAGAATCATTTGAGGCACATAATGCTTTATGAGTTCAAGAAAGGAAACTCAGCAGCCGAAGCCGCTAAAAACATTCACTCAGCTTATGGAGAAGAATGTGTGAATGAAAGAACTTGCAGAAGATGGTTTGCAGAATTCAGAGGTGGAGATTTCACCCTTGAAGATGAAGATCGAACCGGACGTCCAGTTGAGTTTGATGAAAAGCTTCTTGAAGCAGCCCTTGAAGAAAATCCTGCTTTATCAGTTGAGGAATTGGCAGTGGTTCTCAGTTCAAACCATACAAATGTTCATCGTCATCTTCAACAACTTGGAAAAGTTCCTAAACTTGGAAAATGGGTGTCTCATGAATTGTCTGAAAACAACCTCAAATCCCGAGTTGACATCTGCTCTTCTCTCCATTCTCGCCAACTTTTTTCACCTTTTTTGAATAGACTTGTGACTGGCGACGAAAAATGAATCTTTTATCGAAATGTCAAGAGTCGTAGACAGTGGCTTGGTAAAGGGGAAGGACCCCAGCCACAACCGAGAAGGGAACTTCATGGGCAAAAGGTTCTTCTTTCAATCTGGTGGGATCGCCAAGGAATAATCCACTTTGAATTCTTACCACCTAATGCAACAATTAATGCTCAAATATACTGTCAGCAATTAGAGCGTTTGAACCAAGCTTTGAGGAAAAAAAAGACCTGCTCTAGTGAATCGAAAAGAGGTGATGTTTCATCAGGACAATGCACGACCCCACACAGCAAGAATCACGTCACATAAGATCGGTTGGGAGAAAATTCCTCATCCACCTTATTCACCCGATCTTGCTCCTTCAGACTACCATTTGTTTCGTAGCTTACAGAATCATTTGGAAGAAACAGCTTTTGTGACACAGGAAGAGGTTAAAACTGACATTTGTGAGTTCTTCAAATCAAAGCCAAAAGAATTTTACAGTAATGGAATTAGTAAGCTTGTTAATAGATGGTAGAAAGTCATAGATAATCAGGGAAAATACATTGTTGATTGAATCTGTAATTAAATGTAACATTTGGTCACTTGTTTTCTTGATTCAAAATTCGGACAGAACTTATAGGATGAACTGATATATTCTCTATGTCTATCGTCTGTTTATGGGGAAATAAATAGGTGGCAATACTTTTGGAACATATTAGATAGATAGATAGATAGATAGATAGATAGATAGATAGATAGATAGATATGAACAGAATGAGATAAATTCAATAAAAAATCATTACACTTACCTTTCATAATTTTTCCAATCTGATCTTCTTCTACCTTTGATTGGACCCAAAGAGGCTGGGAGGATAATTTACAGCATATATCATACTGGTTTAGAAAATGATATCCCGCCGGGAAAATATAGTAGTTTTTATTTGTAGCGGGACAGTCCTTGTAGAATGTATTGCTGTAACTGATTTTATTTTGAAGGCATATTTCAGCTGAAAAGAAATATTTTTTTAAATTCCATTAGATTAACTGATAAGACATTTTTTAAAAATAAATAAATGTATATACACAGAAATGGTAACAAAACAGCTGGTTAATATGGCCGACAAGTTCAAACTCAAGTTTCATATAGAATATATGCTTGTTTACTGGACTTATTTAGGTTTGTTTGTTTTTTGTTTTTTTTTGTTTTTTGGGTTTTTTTTTTTTTTGGTTTTTCTTATACAATGTCTCTTCAGGACTCAGGCGATCATAACTCACCAAATATTTTTCTTTACTATCTGCGAACGGCCATGGAAAATCGGGTAATATAGTAGAGTGATTTCCTGTTATATATTGATATTCAGACTTTACTTTCTCTTCAACCAATCCAATGCTAAAGAGCTCAGTCTACTCTGACAAATTCCTGCCTTTCCCAATGTACTCGGAATTCAAACCTACTCCACTTTCCGCGCCGATATCCGGTTACACTACCCGCACACCCAGGTTTACTTTAGTCTAACATGATATTAAAAATTGATTTCAATCAAGCTATATTAACGAACTGCGAAACGAAGTTGCTATTCCCTGATCCATTTTGTTTAGCAGAATTTTGTTTTAAATGTCATCGGGCAAACGTAAGAAAATCCATTTTCAATTTATTTTCCATTTATTTTATGGTATTTTTTTTTTTCGGGTATAACTTTATTTATTTACGATTATTTTGTGCTAAACATATAAAGAGCTGTGTTAAAATCATCTGCAATCTGTTCGGGGAATGTATACTTACTCGCCCTATAAAGGACACTAATTCAAAATACGAGTTACTTCCCTTGTCCGCTAGGAGGAGCGAGCATTTCGGAATTCAACATAGAAACAGGTTGATACGCACGTGGAACTCATGGTTTAAATCCAAATTAATCTTTGCTGTTCTCAGGCAGTAAATGAATAAAAGTTATTTTATTATGTGTTAAAATGCACTTGTCTTTTATTTTCAATTGTTATTGTTCCTTCCAACAACCTTGAATATGATACAATCATTGTCAAAGCCAATAGAATTTGAAATTTTAATCCAAAGAAGAATCTGCAATGCTTTTGTTCCTGACCTGGCATCTCAGATCCAGTTACTTTCCCACCGTCATGACATAGCTTCCTCTGTGCCTTTTCTTTCATGGTTGTAATATGATTGGTTTAGCTAATAGGTAATTAGCATAAAGAGAGCAATAACTATAGAGAGCTATATATATATATATATATATATATATATATATATATATACGTCAGTGTACGTAGAATAGTATAGAACACCCAGTGAGGATCGAACTCACTAATCAGTCGTAATTAATCTAGTGAGACAAGCTAGCTAACCATTAAAACACGTTGAAGTGCCCCACTTAGGATATATAGATATATAAGTGTACATGAAACACACTTCTTTTTATCATCCTATTATAATTGTGCCTGTCGCTCCATTCGTTAGTTCGCACGACCACTACGCCCTGCCAATAAATAAATATCGAGCATTATTTTATTAACACTGGCACTCAATGTGCGATAATTTATATATGTGTGTGTGTGTGTGTTTCTGCGTGTGTCCATATATATATATATATATATATATATATATATCGCACATTGAGTGCTCGATGTATAATATGAATTTATATTATTAATAAATATACATTTTATTCCTCACCGGTAGCACAACTCAATTGTGCCATGCACAAAGCAATTGTCAGGTGCTGATTGAAGACTAATAGCAGTTACCTAATTTAAATATTAATATTCAAATATACTTTAATGATAGTGGATCAATTCATTTATAAACGAATTGGGTTGAGTAATATAATGAAATAATATTATATACATTTATATACGCATATATGCACACTTACTTCCAAAAACAAATATATAGCTATAATTCATATGTAAATATACACATCTAATATGTAGTTTCAAATGTAATGCAAATACATACAAAATTTCATGATATATCCATATATATATATATATATATATATATATATATATATATATATATATATATATATATATATTCACGTGTGCTTCTTATAATATTTAGAATTGTTAGGTGATAAAAAAAAAAGGACAAACGAAAAGATACCAATGTAGTCAGTAAGATAAATATTTATTAAATATCAAGTATTTTACACAAATGAAGCACGAGAAACAAGTTTTAACTTCGGAAGTTTCAGACACTCCTGTGTCCTTTATCAACGATCCGAAAAACAAACAGAGAAAGGGAAACCAACAGATGTTTTTGTAAGTTAGGTATTTTCCAGTGGAAATCGTATTCAGAGCAAAACCAGATCTCTGTCTAATCACTCGATGTGGGAAAATTTTATGAAAATGAACTTAAGATTTGATGAGCGTAGATGTGCTAAACTGATCTAGTTTTACTAGTGTGTATCGGAAGGAGTGAGATTGTAAACATTGATGATTAGTTGGCAGGCTCTGTCGGGGCTTGTTGCTTTTGATATTGTCAGAGTAAAGTGGTGAATATTATTACCAGATAATGTTAAGTGAGTTGTAGGTTGAGGAGGGGAAAATACGCCTTGCGTGTAGCAAGTTGTAGCAAAATTGACAGTTCACGTGGTCAAGTGTGGGAAACTATGGTTGGAATATTTGGTGATTAAAAAGAAGAAAGAAAAAAGGAGAGAAAAAAGGAAAACATGGAGAAATAAAATAAAACAAAATAAAACTAAAATATAAAAAGATGGGACAGAATTATTGATAAAAAACTTTAAATTTATTGTAATTTTTTTTTAGTAAAAGAATAAAAAAAACTGAGAAGAAAAGGCGCATACATACATAGATGCACATGCGTACATACGCGCACATAACCGTATGTATGTATACACAACCCCACACACATAAATATGTACCGCCTTATATAAATATAAATAAATGCACAAAATTAATATGTATCTTCACTACACTTCCATTATCTTTATATAAGCTTGTATGTAAAGGAGCTTTATTGATAGAATCTATGATGGTATAATGTGAGTGATTCCAATCAAGGAGGTGGCTGGAAAGTAGCCCGCACAGTTTTGAGATTAACGATTTCATTTTTGATCTCAGCTAAAATAAAAAATATCTTCTATGTAGGAGTAAGTATGGAAAATCCTCTTGGTCTGTGCTTCTCTAACTATTACAGCGGAAGTATATTCTCGGTTTTAATAACTTTTTTAAAAACTTCGTTTTCTACTTGGGACATGTAATACTTAAATGATGATATATTATAGATGATATTTTTATTTTAGCTGAGAACAAAAATGAGATTAATAACCTCGAAACTAGATTCGAAAAAAAAAATCCGTCCTCAAAATTACTTATGAACTTATCCAACAAAATAAACTCCCATTCTTGAATGTTCTTCTTGAGTCTAGTAATAATACGTTCATGACTTCATTATATAGCAAAAAGAAAATTAAATTTATTAATTATTACAAAAAATTAAAACCGCTAACGTCTCCGTCAAAAATAATATTTCACCTGCAACATACAAATTACAGAGAACCATTATCATTTACGAATTCACATGTTCCTTAATCTATATTTGTGAATAATTACATTGAGTAAATTACATGTTTGACAAGAAGACACACGTTATATCTTTCTGACCATAGCACAACAAGCTCTCATTTAAATATACATGGAGACCCAGCAAACTCTATTCGTAACATATTCATTGATAATACAGCCTCAGCTACATGTAAGAAAAGGCTAAAAATAATGGAAGCATTATTAACACAAAAAAGAAAAAGCTAACACTTAGTAATATCAACTATGAACACGGTCACAACGTGCTGACCATGTTTGGAAAATAAACTTTTTCTATAACTCTAGATACATACATAAAATAATGCATATATTCAGTTAAAAGTAAAATAAAACTCATCCTTGATAATAGCATAAGGATAGCGGTAAGCGCTTGGAAAATATTCGGACAATTTTTATATAATATATGTCCAGAAAAGAAAAAAATTATACGAACACATGAGAAATTATATAAAAAAAAACGCAACCACCACACCTTGTCAATTGTTTTCAACGAAACTTGCATAAAAGATGGATTGCCGCCAAAATACACAATAAATAAATATATATATATATAGGTACTTATTGGAAAACGCTCAATATCACTGATAGAGCTAACATTCTTAGTTGTATTAATGTGAGTTTGTGATCCGGGGTTTCACGCCCTTGCGATCGTCAGACAAATTTTTTGTTTGGCTGACAATCGCAAGTGGGTGAAACCAGGGGTCACAAACTCACATCAATACAACTAAGTATATATAAAGTAGATAGATAGATAGATAGATAGATAGATAGATAGATAGATAGATAGATAGATAGATAGATAGATAGATATACGAAGGTGTGCATAGAAATCTATCTAAATACATGCATACAGATAAAGTAGATTCATACACATCTTTACACACGCACGTACACACGTGTGTGTGCATAAATTATAACGATGTCAAAGATTATTTAAAGCCAAAATATTGACAGTCAATGGAGTATTGAGAGAAAAGACATTTAGCGCAAGCACTCTTTAAAATAAACTGCTCGATATGAAAGATAGACCATTAATAGGATTAATGTGAGTAAAATACCGACTCCAGAGTTTCGTAGACGGACCTATTCGTCCAATCTACAGAAGGTATAAGTAATTTACTGCTGATATTGTGTCATTTTTTCTTTTTATGCACATTTAGCACTGGTGCAAATTTTCTTCTGTGTTTATGTATGCACTTGTCTGCGCGCTCGTGTGCGTGCATCCGTCTGCACGGAGGTGCGTCGGGATCATTTTGCCCGTTTCTCCGGGCTTGTTTTTTTCAGTTATTTTACGTAAAAAATATTTTTACCAAGATTTTCTAAAAATAATAATTTCAGAAATAAATTAATTCATTTCTGAATAAGTCCTGAAAGTTTCATTAAATTCCACCAATTATTTGATGTTTGCAAGAATTTCCAAATGAATGTGTTATTTTACCGGAAAACAGGAGCGAAAATTTCCATTAGCAGTTCTGTTACACCGTTCGCACATAAAAATAGAAGTTTGTTTGTTTTTTTTTTTTTTTTTTTTTTTTTTTTTTTTTTCAAACGTTTTAGAGAGGAGTAAAACAATTTAAAACCACATATTTAAAATATACTTTGGTCAAGCTTCATAATAATAACATAAACATTTTGACGATAAAACTTTGTTTCTATTAACGATTTTGCTTTCATTGTTCGAAAGACATTTTTTATCTAAGGGAAATAACACGTTTATATTTATACAAAGTTGTCTCCCTTGTTTCTTCACCAGTTCTTCGGAGATAAAATTTATTTTGGCCTTAAATTATGTTTAATCATTTGTCACAACTCAGAAAAAAATTATGTAGTGTCTCGAAATTACTTTCATTTTCTTTCATCATTTAAAAAAAAATTCTACGAACTTTCAATAAGTGAATCTGAAAAGATTTTTAAGATTATCTGCAAAGTTATTTCATTGAGAAATAAATGAATGTATCAAAATAGCAATTTATTTTTTGATAAATCAATCTAAATTGCGTCGAGTTTGGGTTAGGGTTAGCGTATTTTTTTATTTGAAAACGTGTGAAATATTCATTCACAAAAAATACATTCATTCAATATTTAGGTAGTAAAAAAATGGCAAAATGATGTCACGGCGGAAAAAATCGTAGCAATTTTTTTTTTCAAATATCGCAATTTTGCCAGCAGTCACTGAAAAACAGGTGAAATCGAAAACTTTTTTATAATAACTGAGTTATCATTGTATATGAGAAAGATTATTAATTATTATTAATTTGGAAAAGTCGATCATTAAAATCAATCAGCACAAAATGTCAATTGTTTTTTTTTTAATTAAAATAACTGATAATTAATTACAGGATAAAAATTTTTGCGGATTTTGACGTCATCATGGAGGATTTTTTTTTTTTCGTCTTCATCAGTGAGTTTGTTTTGTTCATGCGAAGTCTTGAAAAAAAAACACTTTATAAATTTCCCTATTTTTTATCCATAATGTTGAATGTGTTAAAATTATTCAACATTTTAACGAGAAGTTGATGTAAAAAATTGCCACAAAACATTGTTAATTTATTTAAGATAGAATGATCTATTATGACATGTCTCTAATTTGTATTTAGATACATTGTATTTATTGTTAATTTTTATAGTTGAATTGTTCACCTATATTATACATATGATCCATATGTACATTATTACGTTACAATAAAATTTGCATTTTATATGGATATGATGTGATGGAATAACCTGCCACTCCCATCAGTGGCAGCACTATAAGTGGTAACCACCTATAAATATCTGTGAGGACAGCGGACGGCAGAGTCGAGCTGGGATCTTTGCCGTGGGACGGAGTTTCGTTCGGGGAGCTAGACAGACCCGATTCCGATTATGCGGAGTCTACGACGATTTTTTGGCCGAGCCTACGGGCTCAGGAACCCCACATTACATTCGGCCTAGTGCCACATGTGACTGCGTGGGGCAGTTGCTAAATAGCCTTGAGCTGAGATCTGCAAGAACTAGCGGCCTTCCGATAGCAACACGCACACAACTGTACTGACTTGCGACGACCGTGCGCATAACTATTACTTCCTTGCTTGTTGTACTGGTTTCTACAATATACTATTTATCCACCGTGTTTGTCCATACTCCTAGTAACACGGAATAACAGAATACTACTTTATGAAAATTAAGATGAGGTAGAGAGGTGAGGGGGCAGTATCAATGATTGACGGGGGATTACAGATTCAAGGAATATCATAAATGAGGGGACCCTAAATAACCCACCCCAACATAATTATCTTCAGCTAATCCTACAAGTCAACCACACTATTCTTAAATCTCCTCTTCTTCATGATGGGAAGAGACGATGATGGGAAGATGAGTGGTCGTCTCAGGTTAAACAATAAGTTAACATCTATACTTCTTATTTTTTTTTATTATTATATATTTATTTCCAATTTTTCTAGTTGATTTGCTCACCTATATTGAATATGATCCATTATCATACATAATTAGGTTTGTATTTTACATGAATACTACCTTATGAAATTCGAGATGTAGTAGAATGGAGGGGGTGCGTTTCATAGATTCGATAGTTGGCAAGAAACTTTGTACCAACATTAAAGATCATTTGCTATCTAAATACACAGAATATATATATATATATATATATATATATATATATATGTAATCTTTACATACGGACAATTAGTCTGTATGTAAAAGTTTTATAATAAATAACTATTGCTCTACTTTGGTATTGAGCCCTCATTTGAATTAATGCTGTGAATGTTTGAATTTTTATTCTTTTTTGTTCTTAGTTCTTATTTTATATATATATATATATATATATATATATATATATATATATATATATATATATATATTATAAAAAAGCATTTAAACATAATGATGGATTACAATGAAATATTGAAACATTGATTACTTACAAACGGAAAATGCTGGTAGAAAGCATAAAATGGCATAAATAAATGAAAACCAGCCAGCAGTTTGTTGCCTGAAAAGAAAAGAAAATATCCTTTTGAGAATAAAAACAATCTCTGTCACACAACATAATACATAATGTAATACAATTTATGTATATAAATGTGTGTGTATGTATGTGTAAAAATTCAGATATAAATACAATATACATGATCATAAAAACTGTAATAAATTAAAATGAAATTGTTTAGACCTTTAAATATTTAAAAATAAATACGTTTATGCATAGAAAATTAAACAATATGAATAAAATACAAAGAAATAATAATAATAATAATAATAATAATAATAATAATAATAGTTAAAACTAAATAAATTGCAATGATTCATAAAATAAGAAACAAGAGTTACGTCCCCTGCTTTGTAAGGAAAGGCAATAGAATCCCCATAATACACTAGAAAGACAGTTTTAGCCTAAAAATATAAACTCTCTCTCTCTCTCTCTCTCTCTCTCTGCCAATTGTTAGACGAGAAAGATATTCTATCTTAAATGAGCTCACCAGAAAGATGTCTCTTTATACAGATAAGCCTAAAACCATTTCTTTGTTTGCCTTTAATACATAAAATCAATATGTATATATATATATTTACATATTATATATATATATATATATATATATATATATATATATATATATATATATATATATATATATATATATATATATATATATATATATATATATATTATATGAATAATATGCATCAATTATAAGCAATTATATATTTAATTAAAAATCAGTCATTTAATAAATATATTATATTTTTTGCATGCACCCCAAAAACTTTTTATTTCATATTTTCTTGTAAAATTCACACAAATATTAATTTAACCTGTTGGGGATGGATGATATAATTTCAGATAGAAATAACAAAACAAAGAACAAGAGCTCATATCATTTGCACAATGAAATAAATAAGTGAATAAAAATCCAACAGGACATTTACACACATTTGTTTATTATTCAATAAATTACATCATTTAGTTTATCTTTCCTTACACAGCAGGTTTAAGAATATTTTAGAATCTTCTTATAGTAAAAAAAGATATGTTTTGCCATCTTTACTTTGGTCTATAAAGACAAGTTAAAAAATAAAATTTCCACTTTTATCATAATAATGTTCCTGAAGGGATGAAACACATTGGTAAAGAAAAGTTTTCCTTTTGTCTTTTATATATGATAGGATAAAGAACAAATAGGAAATGTTTATAAACATAACATGTTTCGATTTTATTAAAACTTCATCAGACAATGAGATATGGAGAAAAAAGAAGAAATTCTGGTATTTTTATTTTTGTGTCTTTTGATTTTCATTGGTTAAACAGTTAAAGAACAAGAAAATAGATAGATAGATAGATAGATAGATAGATAGATAGATAGATAGATAGATAGATATGAATATACAGATAGAGAGGGACAAACAGACATGAATAGATAGATAGATAGATAGATAGATAGATAGATAGATAGATAGATAGATATGAATATACAGATAGAGAGGGACAAACAGACATGAATAGATAGATAGATAGATAGATAGATAGATAGATAGATAGATAGATAGATAATCTTTTTTGATTTTTTTTCTTTGATAGCTCAGCCATTGACTGTTGAACCTGGTGCAATATGTCTTTCTTCAATATCAATCAAACAAAACTCTAGTATATATTTATACTTCAAGTATGCCAAGAAGGACTTAGTTACAGTTTTTGAATAAAAGCGCATAGTCTGATATGATCAACATTTTGAATAAGGCCTGTACCCATAAAAATCGGTCACAATTACTTGTGACTTCTGGCTTGCATAACCATCAACATATTCCAAACAGTTTATTAGTCTACC